TGTCAAACATTAGACAAATGAGCGGGTTGATCAGAGAATGTGTCATTGTCACGGTATAATCTTTTCCTGATTAAAATCTCCATCTGCTTAATGTGGTCTGTTCTACTGAGCATAATTTCTCTGTGTTGGCAATCCTTCAGCGTCAGGCAAGTCCCCTCTGCTCGGAGAAAGAGAAAAAGCAAACCAATTGTTTGCTTCTCACTGACTTCTTTTGTAATTTACTCAAAAGTAAATGGTGTCTCATCTCTGTTCTGCAAACTCTGGATGTTTGTCTTACAGGGTGTCAATTTCGAGGCCTGGAATCCTAACAGAGAAACCTGCGAAAGCAAACAACAAGAGGTGGGGAGCTCATTTTGCTAACTACCTCCATTCACTTCACCAATGATTGGATTGTGCAGTTCACATAATATGTGTGAGCCTTAATTCAATCAGTGTTTATAGAGTGTGTTGTCTCTAGACTGTGGACATGCAGCTAGAGTTAAGTAGGAATTTGGTGCTGCTGGTGCTTGGACCCCTATGTTTGAAACATTGCCGTGACTCAGAGCGACCACTTAGCACAAATGATCATTATTAGTAATGCAGCACAGATGGCTTTGAGTAGCTTGTTAAATCCCTTTAGCACATGCCAGACACAGTCATGCAGCCAGAAGCTGGAGGACAGCCCACTGCCCACTCTGCAATGTCCACTGATTTTTACTGCAAACAGGTTTCTTTGTGGCCATAAAGGTTTAAGCAGTTGGCAGAATTTGCCCATTTGCGGATTTCCACAGATGAGTGATAATAATACCCCAAACTTTGGTTTTTGAGCACCAACTGGTTCTGTGACTGGTCAGTTAGTGGAGAGTAACAGTCCCTGCTGACCTCAGTATTGACCAGAATCAATTGAATTGATTTTAGATTATTAGAATCAACTTGAATGGATTATAATGATAATAGATATTTAAAGATATGCATGCATTTTTTGACTAAAGAAGGTCGATCAGCAAATCCCAAAAGAAAAGACAAGCATCTCCCAAAAACCATGGACAATAATGGAGCCCCCTGTGCTCATATGAGGCTCATATAGGATGAGGCAGACCGTCACCTGCACATTAAAAACTGTGTTTAGCTGTGGGACATATCCCTTGATCTCTCCCACATGCCCACATGCTGCTTAATGCTCCAACTGCCTGTGGCCTGCAGGGCGTCGAGGGTGAGAGCGAAGGTGAGGCCCGGGGCACACTGAAGAAGATCCAGAAACTGGTCAGAGTGAAAAAGAGTGGTCAGAACTGCACAGAGGAGAGCAGGAATACATCAGACACCAATGGTGAGATACTGCCTTCACAGAAGACATGAGTCAATTTATCAAGGCTCAAAAGATTATAATAATTAAACATTTTTTGATTTGAATCCATTTTTTTAACAACTTTACTCTTCCTTATACAAGTGCACTATCTTATCTAATCTCCTCAGAAATATCTCTTGAAAAATGAATAACTTGTACTTAGAAACCACTAAATTGTAAAATTACATACCATCTTTAAAAGAAACACTATCAGTGCTTGTTTATTAACCACTTTAAAGTTTTAGCTTTACTCTGCTAAAGCCTGAGTAGACTGACAAATCAATGTGATGATCAGTTATTAATCTGTGTTACTGAGCTCTGCTAAAGCCTGAGTAGACTGATAAATCAATGTGATCAGTTATTAATCTCAGTGTAACTGAGCTCTGCTAAAGCCTGAGTAGACTGATAAATCAATGTGATCAGTTATTAATCTCAGTGTTACTGAGCTCTGCTAAAGCCTGAGTAGACTGATAAATCAATGTGATGATCAGTTATTAATCTCAGTGTTACTGAGCTCTGCTAAAGCCTGAGTAGACTGATAAATCAATGTGATGATCAATTATTAATCTCAGTGTTACTGAGCTCTGCTAAAGCCTGAGTAGACTGATAAACCAATGTGATGATCAGTTGTGATGATGATCAAGTGATAAGCTTAGCATCAGTGTTGTACTGGACTTAGGTATGCGTTTTGTGGCAAGTTACAAAAATGCCATTAACTGAAAATAACATACCCGCTTTGTAGTCAAATTTGCAAAAAAATATTTTGGGGGATGTGGTGAATTGTTTGCTTAGTTCATAATATGGAAGTGGGAATATGGGAGCAGGAGTGGACTGAAGCAGGTGATGAGAGACAAGATAATGTTGAGAATTTTAAAAGTGTGAATTTTTCATGAAACTTATTAACAGAAAAATTACATCAAGCAAACTGCCACCAGTAACAGCAAGGAAGAGTATGAATTAAATACCAATGACAGCTGCAGTGTTTTCCCCTCGTACCTTATCAAGATGTTTTCTAAACATATTCCAACTGTATTCTGAATACATTACTTTTAGGTATTATAGTGGAATACATTACTGAATACATGTACCACAGTGTATTCAGTGTCCAGTCGTCACTACTTTTTCAAAGTATTCTGCCCAACCCTGTGCATACTAAACTTACAGCAAAAGAATTTCAAACTAAAACCCATGAATCCATCTAGGCCATGTGACACAGACAGTGTCCAAAGAAGACAGCCCAGTCATAACTTGCATAGGGCTGGCCAAAAAGCCTGAAAAGAAGCTTGGGAAAGAGCAACTTCAACAGCAGCAGCCCGAGCCAGCAAAAGCGAAGGACTTAATGGAAATGGAGGGTCCCTGGAGCCCAGGACCTTTCCACCAGCCCTGGACCACCATGGACGCTTCTCCAGCATGGGAACTGTCCTATCACACCTGCCACAGACCCACAGCTGACCAGCACCTGTACGCCTTCGACTTCAATGTGCCCTGCGGCACTGCCTGGGATAGGTTTGAGGTCCATGGCCTGGACCACCTCAAGCGGGACCTGTCGCCTGACCTAGAAATGACCGACCCCCTGGTGAGTCCACAGTCCTTCCCTATGAAAATGAAATATATTATTATATGGTGTCCAAACATTGTCACATAATTTTATAACATTGTCTTGCTTTGAGAGAACATTCATCCAGCCATACATCTTTGGTGGCTAATGTTCAAAGAAAGTAAATAGGACCAGTTAGTATGATGTCATAGTTGTGCTAATTACTACCCTTACCATGTTTTATTTGTTATTAGCTTCGTATTTGTATTTTTGGGTGCATTCCTGAAAGGAACACTCCGGGCAAAATAAAAATGAAACCATCACTTCACCTAACCACACTTACTCACATCCTACAATGGTACTGCATAGTACTTAGAGTGAGATTTTCCATTTTAACTAGACTAGAAACACCCCCCCTTCTGATGATGTGTCTTGAAGGTAAAAGGAACTTTTGAAAAACTACAGCTGCTTCAGCCTGGATTTTCTGGGGCGGACTTTTTTTTCCCCTTAACTGTTAAACGCAGAGGGAAACCAGATAGCAAGCAAAGTGAGGCAGCCCTTGTGGATCTAGGTGAACTTTAGCACTGCAGACCTGCAAAGCTTGGAAGTGTGAGTCAATTAAAAAAAATAAGAGCTCTAGTCTTCTTCTTTCTAAAATAAACTACATAGATTAACTAAAAAAAAGTCATTCACATTACACATTAAACTGTACGGTATACATTAAACTACACCTTCCCTTGAAACCAAATCGCATCAGCACCACCAACACTAGCCTGATTTTTGCTATCCAGTGAAGAAAATAGCGAGGCGGTGTGACCGCAGCTTAAGGCCGCATCTTTGCTAGGAAGCTGAATATCTTACTGCAGCTGTATAACTGTAAAAATGTGTACAATGTTACAACTGAGAGATGGATGGATGACTCAAATGACAAAGATGAGGACAACAAGCTAAAAACTAAAGTTTGCAAGTTAGCTACCTGGCTATTTTGACACTATACTACACTACACTATATTAGCTGCTTTTGTATGGCTGAAAGGGTAAAAACTTGTCTCTGTTGTCCATTTAGTGCTGAATAAAGATAGAATTTACTACTTTGTTTGATGGCTGAGGTAAGAATTACACAAAGCTAGCTTCTTTGTATTTATTGGCCTGTATATCAGTGGTTAAGCTAGCAGTCAGGACTGGATTACTAAGTTAACTATACATTCCCAACTTAATGCCATGTCTTTGCTAGAAAGCTGAATATCTTCTTGCAGCTGTATTACTGTAAAAACTGTCTTCAAATCATTGTTACAATGGAGAGAATAGATTACCCAAATGCCAAAGATGAGGACAACAAGCGAAAACTTAAGCTAGCAAGTTGGCTACCTGGCTATCTAGACATTTTACCTTAATTTGGCTTTTTATGTGGCTGAAAGGTTAAAAACTTGTTTCAGTTGTCCATTTAGTGCTGAATAAAGATAGAATTTACTATTTTGTTCGATGACCGAGGTAAGAATGACACTAATGCTAGCTTGATTGTATTTATTAGCCTGTATATCAGTGATGGACTGACTGCCAGAGATTCCCAAGGGTTATATGAGGTCTTTGTGTAATGCATGGTTTGTAGTGAGAGAATATTGATGAAGAAAAACATGAAAATGAAATGAATTAATGAATTCTGACAAAGCAATGAGGCTGAGGGATATAATGCCGTTCTACAGAATACTACATAATACCACAAACAACATATCAAACCAGAATGCCTCTATAACCCCTGCTGTCTGGAGATAATTACACATGAACTCAACTTTTACATGACAAACCTCAGGGGAGAAACACTTACATTAGAGCTAATAAATGAATGTAATTAATGTAGCTAATATAGGAGGTGTAATCAACACGGTTTAAATGAATAAGCTAAAATTAGCTTCATATATTTGAATGTATAGAACCACATGAATTAGAGGCCTTGCAGTTAAAATAACACAATAAAATAGGTACACATGCTTGGTCAACCTTTTTCCTGTGCGTGATGTTCGTGTGAAGCTAGTTCCTGAAATACACTGGAACTAGCCATCCTAATTACATAATAATGATGCTCGGCGCTCTCAGAATGATTTACTTCATGGCTGTTCCTCTGAAGCTGAGCACTGAGCTTTTCGATCAGATGAGTGTGGCATACAGGGCTATTCACATCCTGTGCTTAGATGAGGAAGTGTAGGCTCTACCCTGAGAGTAAGCGTTCTGTGAGCTGCTGAAAACTGCGTGTGGTGCTTTCGGTCATGTAAAACAGTTTGTCTGTAAAGAAAAGTGACACATTCTGAAAGTCATGCTGCAAAGGAGAGCTTCAAATGCCTCAGAAAAGCCAAGGAGTAAGCCGAAGGTAAAAAGAAAGATAATTCAATTTCTTCTTCTTCTTTTTTCTTTTAATAAGGCATTTTGTCCACAGTCCTGTGCAGAAGTCTGAACACCACCGGTCAAAGGACATGTTCTGTTAACACATCCTCTACAGCTTAAATACAGCATTTCTCTTTAAATCTTTACTGCACAATTTCTGTTTATTTGCTAATGTGCCATAACTTCTACAAAGGCCACATTTTATGTGTCAGCAAATAAGTAGCAATTGTGTATTAAAATGTACAGAAGTGTGTTTCTGTAGAGGATGTGTAACTTTTTTCACACGCAATTTAGCCGGGGGTGCCAAAACTTTTGCACACGCCTCTATAGGCTTTATTAAAATGGTATATAATACAGCACTATACTTTCACTACAATTATTCATTACTTTGCATCCTTCCCTATGAGAAGAGGACAAATATGTTTTTACTGTACTTACAATCGCATATAGTTCCAGTTATACATAATTTTTAATGCAATATTATTCCATTCTGCACGGGTCAAGACAAACAGGTGGACGAGTGATACGAAAAAATGAATTGAAAAGGGTTTTTCTACCTTTTAGTACCATTTAAGATCCCGAAATCGCCATGCGTGTAAATTAATTGAGATGTTTGAGCGTAGAAGACCTCTTCCAGGTATGAAGATCCTTCACCTAATATAAAGGTTCTTTAGCAATTTAAGGGTTCTTTTTGGAATTTTCAAAAGGTTCTTCACACTCATACAAATGGTTCTCTATAACTAAACATGGATCTTCTTGGAATCTCTCAAGAACCTAGTGTGGCACCTTTATTTTTAAGAGTGTAGGTTCTTATTTAAGTATACAAAATCTTGATTCTCCATAACCGTGTCAAGCAACATTGTTAACTTCTTCTTCTTAAACAGCGTTCCTCCAGCTTTGGAAGATTTGAGAGTTCCAAACATCAGTCCCCAAAGCTCGAAGAACATGAAGGAACACAGGTAAATGTTTCAGTTTGCTGCGTATAGAGGCGAAGATGCTTCAAAAAGGCATCAAGTACAGTGGTTCTTGCATCATAACTTCTACACTTTAAACAATGATTCAGCATTTTAACTTGTAAAAAGTTAACTTGGTTGCCTTAAAATTTCAAACTTTAATTAACAGAATGAAAAATAGATTATTGTTCTCTTAACATACTATTAAAAGTTCAATCAACTCAAAATTTTAAGGCAACTGGGTGACAGAATCCTTTACTGCTCTCCATAGAAGTCTTAATAACCTTTGGGTTTGTATGGTCAGGGTGCTGACGGAGAGTCTCCTGAAGGAGAGCACAGCAAGGGAGGGATAGGGAAGAAGATGAAAGCCATCTCCATGACCATGCGCAAGAAGATGGGGAGGAAATATGTTAAGGCTTTGTCAGAGGAAATGGTGAGTGCTGAAGGTGCTGAAGATCAAAACGACACCATTTTTTTCTTCTTCGTGTTTTTGCAGCGTCTGCTTTTTTTTGAGTGTTTCGTTTGAACCTATCGCTGAAGAATATCTCAACTTTCCAACCGCTGGTGTCTGAAAACAGGTATTCATGGTCACAATCAGGAAACATACTGAGGACTATGCATAAATTTTATCACTTTTTACGCAAATAAGTGCAGAAAGCTAGTCACAATTATATTAATGAAAAATCATGCAGGGGAGAGCGGAGTTGGTTGGCACAGCTTTCAGTCTCTGCTGTATATCCAGGCATACAGCCGTATGCAAAAGGGCACCTTCGGTCAACTGACATGTTTTTGTTGCTTTTTGAAGTGTAAATAAGTTAACACATCCTCTACAGAGAATACACTTAGAAAGTGTGCCATAACTTTTGCACAGGCCATATTTATGCTTTATTTTTTTGCAGTACATTCAGCAAATAAACAGCAATTGTGCATTAAATGTGCAGAAGTGTGTTCTCTGTAAAGAATGTTTTCACTTTTCACTTAGCAAATCAACAAAAACGTCATTTGGCTGGGGGTGCCAAAATTTTGCATACGGCTGTGCCAAATAAAAGCTGAACACCTTTGCTAAAGCTAAAGGAAATATTTCTTGGAATTAGTGCATTCATGACTGAATTCTTATTGTGCACATATTGTGCCGACCAGCCCCAGCACAATATGGGGGCAGTTGGCACAACATTAAATGGCTATTGTTTTAAAGAATGAAATAAAAATAATCAGAGCTTTTAACTTAGTATAAATGCAAACAGTCAACTCCAACCAAATAACATTTTTTAATCAATGAAACATTAGGATTTTTATTATTATTATTATTATTATTATTATTATTATTATTGTTGGCATATCCTGCAGTTAATTCTTCTCAAATTAAAACAACAACATATTTAATACACAAATAGTTTCTGCAGGTTTCATCTTGAGACTCACTTATCATCGAAATGCCTAAACTAAGGGGTGCCCAATCTTGGTCCTGGAGATCTACCCCACTGAAGAATCCACATCGAACACACCTTCTTCAAATAGGCCTCCTGAAGGCCTTCATTACCTGGATTAGATTTGTTAGATTTGGGTTGGTGTTCAGTCAGGCTGCAGGGTGGTAGATCTCCACGACCAGGATTGAGCACCCTGGGCCTAAAGCTCTGTTGCATTATTATTAGTATTCTATTTAGTATGTGTTCAGCATGAAATATAACTTGGTCAGGCTGACACAAGTGCCAACCAACCCCAGTTTCAGTGTGCCAACCAGCCCCTGTGTCAACCATCCCCACTTTGTTTTTATTGTAAACGTTTTAATCATATTGGTGTGCAAAAGTCAAAGGCAGCCCTTCATTTATTTCATCTCCAGTCAACACAGCCATTATGCACAAGTTGTTCATTTGTCAGATGATATTTCTGAGAAGAGTAAATATAGGATAATCCAGCTACATAAGGAAGTCAAATGAAAATAAGTGAAAAAGTTTCCAAAACTAGGGCTCAAAAAATGATTAACGGATACAGAGAAAATGGGACTCCCAACAACCACCTGCAAGACGTGGTAGACACCGAAACTGAATAAGATGAACAGAACTTAAAGCTTTCATCTTTGAAAAAAAAGAAGAACATTTGCAAATCAAGCGAAGAAGCTGCTGAGGCTTTCAGAACAATGGACTGACCACAATCAACATAACTGAATGTGTTTTTTGCCTTGTGTGAAGCACAAGTGCAACCAACTTCTAAGACTAAACTTCAAAGGTTGTCTAAAGCAAGGTGAAAGGTAAAGTGTGAACACAAATACTGACAAATCTGATATCATATTTAGTTGTAGTGCAATTATTCTGTTAAATATATGTTTTCTGCTTTTTTGCTGGCCATTTTGACTGGAAATTAAATAAAAGTAGTGACTGTGCAACTTCTGTTCTAAAGGCCTAGTTAGAGTCTTGTATTCTGAGAAGACTAAGGCAGGCTGTTTCTCCGATACGCAGGAAACCCATTGCTTATTTACTATAAACAGCGGCTCAGGAGCACACATAGGTGGATTACACTCATGGCCCACGTCTCAGTTATATATGGCAAGGCAGCTCTTGTGGATTAAAGACTTTGCCTGCCAGTGTAAGGCCGCGTCCTTGCATAAACCGGCATCTTGAGCCGCTTTGGCACATGTGGAATTAATCACGCAATGACATTAGCTTGGCCTCTACTCCCTAACAGCAACTTTAAATGCACTAGTGGGTGGCCATTCAGTATCACTGTATAAATAGAGCTTTGGGTAAACCTTTTTTAACCAGGCTAGCCAATTAAGAGCAAGTTCTTGTTTGCAGTTGCAGAAAGTTATGTGTGTGGTTTGTGCAGGGAGAAGACCTGGAGAGAGACCATGAAGGAGAAGCAGGAGGAGAGGCTGCTGCGAGCGATGCTTTGGCCAAAGACTGCAAAATGTCCAGTAACTCAGTGGAAAGTCTTTACAGTCTGCACAGCGGGCAGAGCACTTCCAGTAAGCTTTTGCTTTCATGATCCCTTCCAGAATGAATGCTAAGGTCAACCACTTGGGTCGACAGTTTCTAGTTGATTTGCATCGTTTATGATATGATGCTAACCACTGTTTGGAGTGAAACAGGTGCATGACACTGAGGTTTAACATCAAGGCTGGTTTGACGGAAATAGAAAATATGATGTTCAAAAGGTTACCAGTCAAAGCCACTTACTCCTCACTCCAAATGTATTTGATCAGCCAATACGTGTTTATTATCCAAAGTCTACTTCTTTCGTTTTGTACTGTAGTTATGAGGCTAATGTAGCTAACAAGCAATGGAAACTTCGATGAGCATCATACAAACTGCATGCCGAGATCATCACATACTTGCCTCAAAGCAGGTTGAGTTGTTTAGTAATCCTAAATAGACTTGTTTATAATGCAAAAAATGCTATATTATATGGCCAAAAGTATGTGGACACCCCTCCTAATTATTGACTTCAAGTGTTTCAGTTACACCCATTGCTAAAAGGTGTATAAAATCAAGTACATAGCTGTGCAATCTGCATAGACAAACACTGGCAGTATAACAGGTCGTATTAAAGAACTATCATAGGATGCCACCTTTGCCACATGTCAGTTCCTGACATTTCTGCCGTGCTAGATCTGCCCTTGTCAACTGTAAGTGCTGTTACTGTGAAATGTAAGCGTCTATGAACAACAACAGCTCAGAGGTAGACCACCAACACTTACAGAACAGGGCCACTGTGTACTGAAGCCATTCCATAACATGGCCAAGCAGCTACACACAAGCCTAAGATCACTATGCACAATGCCAAGCGTCGGCTGGAGTGGTGTATAGCACACTGCCACTGGACTCTGGAGCAGTGGAAACAGATTCTCTGTAGGGATGAATGACGCTTCACTACCTGGCAGTCTGAGTTTGGTGAATGCCAGCAGTAAAGTTTGCCAGTAGTAAAGTTTGGTGGACGGGGGATAATGGTCTGGGGCTATTTTTCAGGGTTTGGGCCCCTTAGTTCTAGTGAAGCGTAAAGTTAATGCTACTGCATATAAAGACATTTCAGACAATCATATGCTTCCAACTTTGTGGCAACAGTTTGAGGAAGACCCTTTCTTGTTCCAGCATGGCCGTGCCCCTGTGAACAATTTGAGGTCCAGGGTTTGATAAGTTTAGTGTGGAGAGACTCCAGGGGATGTCCATTAAGCTCATATAAGGGGGATGTTCAGGTGTCCACATCCTTTTGGCTATATAGTAAATATCTTCATATTGTGAATTAATCTTAAGTCTATTCATGATATCTAGTATTTCTTATTATGCGATTGTTGTAAGAATATTATAAAATTATTTGAATTATTTCTTGACATTCTAAGTTATTTTAAGATATATGCTTGAAACTAGCAAAATATCTGGTAATATAGTGATAATCTGGTAATATCTCTTAATAAAATGACTTAAAATCAGTAACAATGTCGAGAAATAGGATAAATAATCATAATATTTGTGCAACTGTATAAAAATGAGAAATATTAGATATATATAAGGTGGTAAGCACAATATTTTTTGCAGTGTAAGTCCAAACATGTCTTGGCTGACTGACTGCATTTAGGGCTAAGGGGAACACATTTAACTTAAATTTTCTGACAAACCATCAAATTAATGCCCTTTATGGATTCTTTTTAAATGAACAAAACTCAGTTAAAGTGAACTTCAAAGGGAACCAGCTGCAAATGACCCTTTTTTATGTTCACAATGTAAGCAAACTTTAAAGGGCACTCCTATAAGATCTCAGACCATGTGTGTTGTTCTTCACATAACAGATCTGACTGGCTAAGCCATGTTTGAATTCATGGTAACATAGTCAAAAAGCACTAAAGATGAAGAAATGGTCATGATATCAAATCTAAATAATTTGTTTCTGAACATTTTAGCATTTTAGTATTTTAATATATTATACTGTATTATACTATACATTAAATAACTTGTCACTGTTCTATCAAATCAATAAATGACAGTGTTACATGATTTCACCACAGGCAGGGGGTTTAACTCTGCATCGCACTTAGCATCCTGAGTAGTTCGTTTTTACTGTTAAGACTGTGGCAGTGTACAGTCATATGCAAACACCCCTAGTCCAAGACGTGGTAGTGTTTTTTTTTTTGTTTTCCTAAGTGAAAATAAGTTAACACAGCCTCTGCAGGGAACAAACTTTAATGTAGTACTTTTCTACACATTTTGATTTATTTACTGAGTTTAATATAAAATAAAGCATATATGTCATTTAAAATAAAACATAAAATCTAAAATGTGCCATAACTTCTGCAAAAGCCACATTTTGTGTTTTATTTTTTTTTCCAGTATGTTAAATTGAGCAAATAAACAGTAATAAACAATAATTATGCAGAAGTGTGTTCGCTGTAGAGGATGTGTTAACTTACTTTCATAATAAAACCAATAAAATGTAATCTGACCGGGATGCCCCAACTTTGGATATGACTGTATGTACAGTGAGCCTTAAGGGAGACTGGGTTCAGTTCAGTTTTGAGTCCCGTTAGAAGGTCTTTTTTTTCATTTGACAGGTTCAGAAATGCAGAGGAAACAATGTCTTAGCGGTCTAACACTTTAAAATGCTGAAATGGCCTAAGTGTGAAAACACCCTAAGGTCATTATGAGTGTTGCTGTTCCTTAGGTGGTGTCACAAGTGGCTCAGATGGTTCCAGTAACAGAGACAGTCTGAGGCTGGAAGAGGAACTCCCCTACACAGGGCAGTTCTGTGGCCGAGCGAAGGTCCACACTGACTTTGTCCCAAGCCCGTACGACACAGAGTCCCTCAAACTCAAGGTAATGACCTCATAAAGCCCAGAGAGCTACTTTCCTGCAGAGTTTCGTTTCAACTTGTGTCCAGTACGCTGCCCTGCCCCCTACTTAACTCTAATACATCTGATCCAGCCAATCCGGGACTTGGGAAGAGGTTGATTAGCTGGAACATGTGTGAAAAATTGTGGTTGGAACTAGGCTCTGCAGGACGGTAGCTCTCCAGGACCAGGATTGGAGACCACTGCTCTAGAATGTTCTCCTACATTTACTCTGTTCTAGAATCTAGAATGTTCTCCTCCATTGACAGTCTTTCAGAATTGTCTGCCCTTTTCATACTGTTGTGTATAAACATTCTGCCCTTTTCAAAGTCTTCTAGAATCCTAGTTTCTAGTTTCCCCATTCACACAGTTCCTCAATGTTCTTCTCCATTCACACTGTTCTGGAATGTTTCCCCCCTATTCACACTGTTTCTAGAATCTAGAATATTCTCCACCATTTATGCTATTCTAGAATGCTCTCCTCCATTCACTGTTCTACAGTTATTCTCTATTCATACCGTTCAAAGATTATTTCTCACCATTCACATTGTTCTAGAATATAGAACTATTTACACAGTTCTAGAATTATCCCCCATTCACATTGTTCTAGAATTATCCTCCATCCACACTGTTCTAGAATCTAGAATGTTCCCTCCCATGTATGCTATTCTAGAATACTTTCCTCCATTCACTGTTCTACAGTTATTCTCTATTAATACTGTTCTATAATTATTTCTCCCCATTCACATTGTTCTAGAATGTTCTCCTCCATTCACACTGTTATAGAATGTTCACCTCCATTCAAAATGTTCTAGAATGTCTTTGCCTTCCACACTGATCTAGAATTATCTTCCATTGAAACTGTTCTAGCATGTTTTCCTCCATTCACACTGGTTCATAGGACTCATCACTTGTCCTTCAGTATAAAAGCAGCTGACAACATTGAAATGTTGGTCATTTTTGGGAAATGTTGGGTCAGTGTGCCATGATGGCTGTAAGGTTTCAGCCAACTTACTGGAGTTTTATAACCTCGTTAACTGTGTGTGGCTTGATATAATGCTTTCCTCATTATAACCATGCTCACACTGCTGAACATCCTCACTTAGGTTGGAGATATGATTGACATCATCAGCAAGCCCCCCATGGGCATATGGACGGGCATGCTGAATGGCAAAGTGGGGAACTTTAAATTCATCTATGTGGACGTTCTGCCAGAGGAGCCTGTGCCAATGCAGAGGATGCGAACCAACAGAAAGAGCAGGAGGCCACGGCCCAAAACCCTCCAAGAGCTCCTCGAGAGGCTCAACCTAGAGGTGCCATTACTTAAAACCTAAAACCTCATTTTCGTACGTGACTTTGATATTTCTGACAATGAAATGCTGAGAGAGAAAAAACTAACAACCAGCACTTTCCGGTTTTAAAATGAGCAGTGAGCACTATGAGCCCTTATCAGGCCCAACGATAAAGCATTTTGGCAAGTCTGTTGAATCAAAACCCATTTTGGTAAACAGGTCACAGAACAAGACACTTTCAGCATATCAGTGAGAGATCATCAAGATAACTGTGAAAATGTGTTATTCAGGAAATTTGAGTGGGCTCAGCTCGAAACTGTATCCTTTGATAACGGCATCAGATACTCTAAAAAGACATGAAACTATTTTATGTGAGAACCCACCTTGCTTTCAGTGTACTGTATCATTGAACGCTGTCATATCCTGTCTGTTCCACGTCTCGCTACAGGATCTTGCTTCGTCCTTGCTGCTAAATGGTTATCAGACAGTGGAAGATCTGAAGGACTTGAAAGAGCAGCACCTAATTGAACTGAATGTGACTGACCCAGAGCACAGACAAAGACTGCTGGCAGCTACCGAGTGTCTGCAGGACGCAGAACGTGAGTGATGGACTCCTAATGTTCATACAGTTCCATACAGAAGGGCAAATATCTAGTACCGAACCAGAACTAAACTACATAAACCAAATTAATAAGCATGATTTTACTGTGGAATATTCAGTATGTCTAGAACAGTTTTCATTTGTGCCAGAGGGGGGCCTTAGTTTCAATAGCTAAACTTTTCAGTTTAACTAAAATGTAACACAGTCACTCGTCAATTTTAATTAAATTTAATTAAAAATTTAATCTAGCATATTCAAATGACCAAAAAACCAAACAAAACCAAACTACCATCAAACACACTGAGAAATGAGAAACATCTCATTTCTGCTAGAAGCCCACTTTGTGCATTGAATCAGTCACAGTCAGTGGGAGGTGGGAGGTCTCAGAACGAATGACGTGATGATTAGGACCCAATCACAGTCAAGATGGAGGTGTGGGAATGACTGAAGCAGTAATTAGGACTAATCACAGTCGGTGGGGTCTCAAAGTGACTCACGCGGTAATTAGAACCAATCACAGTAAAGGCTGAGGTCTCCGAATGAATAATGATGTAAGCAGGAGTTTGGTTAGTAAGCAGCTCACAACACACTGAACAAACTTAAACCACTTCTTGGTTTTGGCCATAAAGACATCATTTTGCTTTGAAATGTATTTTAAGTACATTAAGTACAGCGCTAGCTTAAGAAGGAAAAAGAAAAATATTGCCACACTTCAGGTGCCATTTTCCTAGTGTGGCAGTGTGGAGTGCAGTAAAAAGATTCCAATAAAGATTCTAAAAAATTTCACTTATTCTCAAAAAATTGTTAAGTGGTCCCAGCTTTATTGGTGTAATGCAGGGACGCAGAAAGGTGTTTTAAGTTGGGGGTGCTGAAATTTTAAGCAGTATATACATGACGTGAACGATGATGTAAGGCAAAATTGTTTGCCTTTTTTTTATTTAAATTTTTTGATAATTTATATCAAACTGACTGTGTCATGATGTGCCACAATGTGGCAAGAGACGGCAATATACCCACATAACTGACACATTAAACTGCTGACCCACACGCTGATTACTCTGCTCTCTCTCCTTCTGGAACTTTATGCAGATAAGTTGAGTGACGTCCAATCAGATTGTTGATGTGTGGAGCAGTAACCAGTTGAGTCATGCACTCCAGCACACACCGAGCAGGAGATATATCGGTTGATTAACAAAATGTAAAAACAATATTAGGCAGCTGTTGGCTCAGAAATGGCCTACAGCTCTGCACACACTTTGAATCTTTGCACCTCGTTTTAGCGACGCTCCTCCAAAATGGCCAGCACTGGGCAAGGGAACTGATTCAGCTCACTGATACGAAAATTCATTATCAACATAAACAGTGCTGCTACAGCAGGATTTTAAAATATATGAATAAAACACAAGCTGGCCTAATACAAGCAGGTATGAGCTTTACCACATTCAAATTAGTTTCAAGTTCAGATTATTATTTTTAACAGCCGTTAACCAACCCTGAAATCTGGAGGTGCTACCGCACTCCCACTCTCAGCATCTTCACTTCCCACGTCTCTGGTGTTATGTTCAGGTTCAGCATAACATTAGACCAGCGTGAAGAAGTCTTGGTAAAAACAAAGTCTAACCTAGGCTGTCAGACCTAAAAAGTGGATCGTTGCAACCACAGTGCACACACCCAGCTGCTTAAACTAGAGCAGGTTTTCAGAGTCACAGGATTTACTTTTTTAGTGCTTCAAATTCTGCACTGAAGGTCGGCCTTGAGCCTCAGTCAACTCAGTCATAGGAGAGCTAGTGAAAGGCTAAGGCTAATCAGAGACGTGGCCTAATTAGAGGCATGTTAATCAATAAAATGACCAAGATAAGGAAGAGACAGAGTGCTACGGTACTGTGGTGTTGAAAAACATGCAGTGCACAAAGTGACCTAGCCACAATATGTGGTCTGCTGCTAAGAGGCTGAAGATAAAAGACAAAAGACATGCTACATCCGGCTGTGTGCAGGAGTCCGCACCAGACTTTGGCCGTAGTACAATACACAATAACAGCTCTTCAGTTACCTTTCTGTAGAACGCTTCCTTTCAGTTAGCCCACAGTTAGCTTTCTATACTACACAATCATTTCGGTTAGCTTACTATAGTACACAACATACACCCTTTGTAGTATACTATAGTACTTATACACTATTCAATAAATACCCCTACAAAAAAAACAAAAATACTATACGTTCACTTGTGAACAATCAAAAGCAGATAATTAGATTTTTTAGTAACATTATCTTTACAATCATTTTTCAACAAGTGGACATTTGCTGCATATTTGTATTTTTCATTTGTGATTTTCTCACATCATGAGTGATTCATTTACACCTCTCACCTCATGCACCATGTCCACGTGATCACATTATTCACTGTATGTCACGCGTTTACGTGTGAATATGCTTTTAGACACTTCACTTATGACAATGCAAGTGACATTTCTACAAGGGTATCTTTTCATTAGCCTACTATGTTACACAGTAGCTGCCCTTATAGCTTATTGCAATACACAATAACTTTAGTCAGCCTATAGTACATAATAACTACCCTTCAGTTAGATTACCCCGCTGAAAAAACAGTCTAAGCCGGTTTATGCTGGTTTGGTGCTGGTTTGGCTGGTCACCCAGCATGGTCATGCTGGTTTACCAGCATACCAGCATCCAAAACACAATGTATGCTGTTTTTTCCTGCTGTTTTTTATGCTGCTATGTTGTTTCCTCTACCAGGGTATTGTAGTATAGAATATCAGGACCTCACATAGCTTACATTACACAATAATTTTCAGTTAGCTGATAGTACACAAAACTATCTCTAGTTTACTCGAGTATGCAATAACTAGGCTTCAGTTAGCCTGCAATACTGGGCCTTGCATAGCTTTCATTACACAAAAAATTCAGATAGCTAATAGTACACAAATACTACTGTCTAGTTAGCATACTGTAGTACACAATAACAACTCTTCAGCTTACTACAAAACACAACCCTTTAGTTAGCTTTCTATGCTACACAGATCCTCAGTTAGCTTACTACAGAACACAATGAGTGCACTTCCATTAGCCTACTGTACTTCACACAAGTCTTTATATCGTCTGTCTTACCATAAAAACTACCTTTCAGTTAGCTTACTGTGGTACACAATAACTACCCTTTATTGTGTACTTCACTACACAAAAACTACCTTTCAGTTAGCTTACTATGGTACACAAATACTACTCCCTAGTTAGCCTATTACAGTACACAATAACTACCCTTCATTTAGTGTATGACAGTACACAATGTCCAGACATCACATAGCTTACACTACACAATAACCTTCAGTTAGCCAATAGTACAAAAATCCTTTAGTTAGCATACTACAGTATCTAACTAAGCTTAGTTAGCCTGCTATAGTACACAGTACTAGACCTTGCATAGCTTACAATACACATATACATTCAGTTAGCCTATAGTACACAAATACTACCCTCTAGTTAGCCTACTGTAGTACACAACTCTTCAGCTTACTATAAACATGATAACCACCCTTTAGTTAGCTTTCTATGCTACACAATGCCCTTAAGTTAGCCTACTATTCTTCATAACAAGTGTTTCTATAGTCTGTTACACTATAAAATTATCCAGTTAGCGTACTGTAGTACACAACCCTTCTGTTAAAGTATTACAGTGCACAATAGCTAGACTGCATATAGCTTAGTACACAATACATTTCAGTTAACCTAACCTATAGGACACAAAAACAAGCCTCTAGCCAGCCTTCTATTGAACACAACAACTACTTTTTAATTAGCTTTCTATGCTACACAATATCCTTCAGTTATCTTACTACAGAACACAATGAGTACCCTCAGTTAGCTTTCTGTACCACACAGCTAGCCTACTGTAGCTCACAATTACTGTTCTTTATAGAGTGTTACACCATACCTTAAATACCCTTTAGTTGGCCTACTTCAGTACATATTATACACCCTTTATTGTCTGCTATACTACACACAAAATACCTTACAGTTAGCTTACTATAGCACACAACGTCTAGCCTACCACAGTACACAACTCTACTTTGATTATGCTTTTACAGTACAGTAGCTGACTACATTCACTGTTTATTACACTCTGCTGTAATGATGACAGTTCCTGTGTAAAATTGTGAAATATATCAGCAAAAAAACAAAAGTATCTACTCTCTGAGGGACATCTTACAAAGGTAAATCGAGGGTTTAATAGATGAGCGAGCTAATTTTGCTTTCAGCTAAAATTCCTGCTGAGTTCAGCTGAACAAATTTACCCGGCGTCCTGCTCAAGGCTGCGTTCATTTGAAAATGTTTTCTCACTAACCTAGAAATCCCCCTTCATGATACATCCCCCCCCCCAAGGCTGTAGTACTTTAATTCTAGTGAAGTGGGGGAAAAAACAGTGCACAAAACGACGCGAGAAAAACAGAGCTGAGAGTCAGTGAGGACACGCAGGCCGTGAGGCCGTGATGCAAGACTGACAGGAAATGAACTCAGGGGTGAGTTTGCTGTGGTTGGGAAGGTACTATCTATCATCTTGTTACACAAGATCAGACACCCTATCTCCAACTGACTGCAAAAACTAGCTTTTACCTTCTATTTGTAAAAAAGCACGAACAGAACAAGAAGTACATTTTTTAGACAGCGTGTGAAGCCGCCTACAACATATGTAAAGTAGGCAAACCACCCACTGATGAATAAACATATTAGCGTATGCTTTCGGCAATAAAAGAAAAAAAGTATGATGTTTAATCAGGCGTCTTTGAAGGGACTGAAACTTAAAGGGCCCATATCCTATATTTGGATTTTATTTTGTACACTTAATTTATTTTCTAAATTCTATTTATCCTTTGAAGTTTGGCTGTTAGTGTAACTGTGCCTTTAAGGCCGGTATGTGGTCGTATGCGAAAGTATGGGCGCCCCGGTCAAATTACATATTTCATATTACATATCCTGTACAGAGAACACACTTCTGCTCATTTAAATGCATACTGTAAAAAAAATGAAACATTAAAAGTCGCCTGTGCAAAAGTTATGGCACATTCAAAATTGTATGTGTTTTTCCCCCAAAGGGGTTAAACAAATAGCTCCAAATTTGCATATTTTTATCATATTTAAATTTGTTCTCTGCAGAAGATGTGTGAATTTTTTTTACTCATAGAATTAACAAAACACGTCATTTGGCCGGGGGTGTTCAAACTTTTGCAGACTACAGTATGTAAAGGACCTCTAACTTTTTCTGATTGGCTGCCCTGTATTCTGCCTCATCTAAAAAGCAGTGCAAACTGAAACACTCCTCATAACTTCAGCATGGATGGGTGGGGCCTAACCGCTGTAGACTGAATAGGCAGATATATGTAAATAGTTTTTCATGACATCACATACTCAAATGAATTCAAAACGGGCTACTTTTGCAGGTGAGTTTCCAGATACGGACTGCATGGATTGGAGAGTGTACTTTAGCAAGGTTTACATAGCACATCAAATAATTTAATATTATAGTAAAGTATTTTAAGGCTTTTTAGCTTCTTTGACAAGGAATTTCTTTTTTTGGAAGGGAGTTTTTTCAAGAACAATAAAACATGGTTCTGTTCTTTTTCAGTTAACAGTCAGAAAGATGGTGAAGGCGAAGCTGAGCCCTTATCTCCCACCGACCCAGTCAAAGTGGAGCTGAACGACTGCCCCAGAGACTCAGGCTGCTACATCGCTTCAGACTGCTCCGACAACAGCAAAGAGGACGCAGAGAACCACCTGCCATCTCTCGAGCAACCACCAGCCGAGGTCTAACCACACTGAGTTTCTACCCTGCATACCCTTTAGACCTTCCACTTAGCACGTCCGGCCACTGACCTGAAACATAGACCTGGTGCTGCCTGTGCAAGTCAGGACATTACTTTTGTCGTTTTGACTGTGTATCCGAAGCCTTTGTTCAGTTATGAGATGTGAATGAATCTCTGGATTGGGATTCTGGCTGAAGACTATTCATATGATGTGTGCTTATGTACGTCAGTGACTATAGACAGTCATGTGCAAAAGCTTGAACCACCAAAATGCACGTTTTGTCGATTTTTTAAGTGAAAATAAGTTAACACATCCTCTACAGGGTGGCAAATTTTACTGCACAATTTCCATTTATTTCCAGAGTTTAAAGCATCAATATGTAGCTTTTGTTAAAACTGAAATAAGTAGCATTACTGAGTTCAGGAGAAAGAAAACACACTAAAATATGGTGTTGCTGTGAGACGCCCTGAAAAGGCTGAAATAATTTAAATAATAATAATAATCATAATTTAAATATCAGAGACATTGAGTTTTTCGAACTATGTCGTAGGTTTTTATGTATTAATGTCACATACACAGACTCAAAAAGAAGATCCAGCTCGATGTTCAGGTCTCAAATGCAAAATTAACCATTTACTGAAAAAGAAATGATGACAATAGTTAGATAATTCACTTACATTCTCAGAAGACACATCCAAGAATGACTGAATTCTCTGAATTCTCATCCAATCATCAGATTCACTTGGGAAAGGGGCCCAAAGCACAACCCACATGACAAAATGTTCTTCTGCACGTTGCATGCAATTACACACTTCCACCAGAGAGGTCTCCAAATCTACAAATCTTACATAGTTTTAACATATCGGGAAAGTAATAAATCATATAATATAAAAAGTGCTGTATTTTACAGATGCCACATTTTTATGTGTAATTTGTTTCCCAAATATGTTAAATTCAGCAAACATACAGTATTTGTGCAGTAAAATGTGCAGAAGTGTGTTCTCTCGAGGACATGTGCTTATTTTCACTCAAAAATTTTGACTAGGGGGGCCCAAACTTTGCATACAACCCTGTATAAATGGGGAACCTATGAAGAAATAATCAGACTATTAAAGGAGTTTAGTAAATGCACTGTAAATATGTTGTAAATAACAAAAGTGAAAGAGATATATAATGTTTAAACTCTGCTTTACGTGATAGATCCAGTGAATGAACTGCTGAATAAACCTGATATATTTTCTTCAATAAAAGTATAAAATACAGATGTTTAGTCATGATTCTTTACAGGAAAGTGTTTTGTCGGTGGGGTGGGGCGGGGCGGGGGGTTGGGGAGGCACACAGGCCCTGCAAACAGGAGAATGCATTTACTGTCAAATGACTGAGATTGGGATTAAGATTGAGGATTGAGGACAAGCACAGTTCCTAAAGCTTCTGAGGACAATGTGGATTGAAAAAACAAATGAAACAGCCAGAACTCTGCTTCGGAATTATGAATGACGCACAACATGGTGAGTAAAGTGATCTTTATCACTAAAGAGATAGAAAGATCAAAAGCGACTTCTGCGAGCTAATGCAATCATCGCTAAGTAGAAAGAGGTTAAGTTTAAATGAATTTAAAAATAAAGTAATTTTAAAAATATAGATATTATATATAATAGAGAATAAAATATATGTTAAATAGAAGACGCTAAACCTAACCAACGAATAGTGGCACCATAGGGCCTATTGTTGATATACTGTCGCCCTCTAGTGTTGAAATTCATGTAAAATCTTTCAATGACCTGGCTGATGTAACAAAAGTACATAGGCATTATTGAAAGTTCATTTTATTATAATGGCTAATAAGTGAAGTTTCTCACTGATTTGCTCCCAAATCCTGGAGACTGGTGAGATAAAAGGCACTGGTGAACATTTCAGAAGTGTCCTTTAACTCAATAATTTCACAATCATTTTACAGTCATCCTTTGGACCAAATATACTTATTAGTATTAAAATGTTAGGGAATCCAAAAACCTGAAAATAAAACCCATAAATTACATATATTCTGAACAGTCACAATGAGGGGGAACAACTATTCAGACACCTTTGTTAAACTATTTTAACTATTTTTTTTTCCAGTATTGTGGTTCAATTTAGCCCCATTCCTCTTGGCAAACAGTCTTCAATTCAACAAGGGTTACAAGGGTCGCTGTGATGGACTCAATTTCAAAATCCTCCATACAGTTTCAGTGGGACTCAAGTCAGGAGTTTGGATAGGCCATGCAAGCAGCTTCACCTTCTATTTTAGAAACCAGACCTGAGTGAATTTGGCTGCATGTTTGGGGTTGTTGTTTTCCCCTTCTTTCCAGATTCGGTTTCTTGGCTGTTAAGATTACACTGTCCTATAATATGTGCTGGTTCATCTCTCCATCCATGTTTCCTCTAATGATGTGTAATGCCCCAGTACCGTTTGCAGAGAATCAGCTCCTTATCATGATGCTCCCACCTTCATACTTCACTGTGAATGGTGTTCAGTGGTGATCATACGAGCAAACGTTCTTACTTTTCTTACAAGTGGTTGTTCATATCGATTTTTCCTACTTAGAAGTGCCTCATCTTAAAAGCAGTGCAAGTTGAAACACTCCTTATAACTTCACCATGAATGGGTGGGGCCTAACCGCTATAGGCTGAATAGGCAGATACATGTATTCATTTTATCATGACATCATATACACAATGAAGTCAAAACAGGCTAATTTTTTACTTAGAAGTCAGAAACTTCCCAGTTCCTAGTGAACACAGCAAAAAGAATAAGAAGTAAAAGTGTGTTTTTGAGTGTTTTTAAGCAGACTATATTTGTGTATGGTAGACTAGTTATGCAGATTTCTTAATACAAAGGGATAATCAAACGTCTAAGCCAGTCTGTGGTTTTTGATCAAGCTGCATGCTATCATGTTATTTTCGGCCTTATATTAAAGGTGCAGTGTGTAAGATTTAGAGGCATCTAGTGGTGAGTTTGCAGACTGCAATCAACTCCCTTTCCAAGCATGCAGTAGAACCTACGGTGGCCATCAGGTTTTCACTTCTTTGATGATGAGGATTCACTCCACTTTGCTTTTTCTTACACACTGCACCTTTAATGGTGAATTATCTATTCTTTATCTTATCTATCACAATCTATGTTTACAATAAATGATTAATTATATATTCAAGTTGTTAATTCCAAGGTAAAATCTTCCTAAAAGTCATTTATATTAACTCAGCAGCAAAATAAACAGTAGTGTACTGTCAACATCAGTTTTTTTCCAACTTCATGAGTCAGCATGACTGCTTTGAGGTGGGACGTATGAAGCTCTGAGTTGAAAAGATCCCAGTTGTCATGAACGCAGCATTAGTATCTTGAAATAATGACAATTTCTCTAAATATTGACCTAGTATCTCCAAATAATGATTTATTTTTCTAAAGATTGGACCTAGTATCTTAAAATAATGACTTAAAATAATTAAAACAATGGCTAATACCATGTATTAGATACCATGTATTAGATTGTGTTTTGTTTTTCCTCCTCTACCGAACAGGAATGGGCTCCCATAATTTTTCTGATCTTATCAGTAATTAAAAAAAATGGCTCTGCATTCATTTTTTTTACCTAAAATGAACATTTTCAGCATTTTACAAGCTCCAACTTATTCAACCTCAAAAGGTGCCATCCATGAGGGCTACTGTTCATATCTTGATGGCTACAAACTATTTATATTATTCTAATAGACACATTTTCATACCACATATAAAACCCCCCAGTGTTTCTGAACTGCTGCTGCAGACCCACACGGCGCTTCACATTTTAGAAAGACTTCGAAATTCGGATCTTCTACAAAGAACCTAAACTAGGAAATGTATTCATCTCTTCTCTTCAGCTCTAATGTGTTTCTCTTTCAGCCATCCAGTGTGGAAACTAAAGACGACAGTGCAGTTCACCTCCATTTATTTTCTTCCCTCTTTCAACACAGTACATCTTGGCTACTTTGTTTTTTCCCCCCCAAAAGTCACTTCCAATCTCCATGAGAAAAATGCAATACATTCATAACACGTCGCAGAGGCATTTCACTCCAGAACTGGTTAACGCAATGTTTCAGATGTGCACACGAGGCAGTTCCACTGTCCACTAAAGCAACTTTTAGAACAGCCAATACAACAGCACAGTGAGGCTAAAGCACACATACACACATGTAAACATACAGTACTGTGCAAAAGTCAGAGACCTCCTTTCATTTATTCAATTTACAGTGAAAATAATTATGTACAAGGTTTTCATTTTTCAGGAGATATTTCTGAGAACAAGAATAATGAGATCCAGAGAAAATTGGACTCCTAACAATTTCTGTAAGACCTGGTAGAGACCAAAACTATCCCCATCAGATAAACAGCACTTAAAGCTTTCATCTTATAGAGAGAGGAGAAAATCAAGCTGCTTCAGATCTGAAAACATCCACAGCCATCCTTCCAGTGTGAGAAGATAACTCAGTGCTCTGGGTCTGAAAGGATGTGTAGCTCACAAGAAGCCCTTACTGAGAAAAGGAAACAGATAAATCAAACAAAGAAACTTCTGGTGTTCTCAGAACAATGGACTGACCACCCCAGAGTCCAGACCTCAACATCACTGAACGTGTTTGGGATTATTCAGATCATGAGAAGCAGAAAATACAACCAACTTTTAAGACTGAACTTTGGAGGTGTGGAAAATATTCCTGCAAATTTCTTTGAAAAAACTGAAAGCGAGTCTCCTGAAAAGATAAAGGTAAAGAGTGGACACATTACATTCTGACAATAGTTGATACAATATTTAGTTGTTGAGGCTTTTTGTTAAATATATTTTATATTCTCTGCTTTTTTTGATGCTGAAAAAAAGTACAAAAAAACAGTTTGTACCTAAAGGCCGTCTTGACTGGAAATTAAACAAATAAAGGGTGGTCTCTGACTTTTGCACAGTACTGTATATACACGTGAACCAGTGGATTGCAGTAGACTGAATACCTACCCACTAGGGCTGGCCTGAATCTGAATACTGTTTATGTCTATTATTTGGAAGCTTTGTCTTTGTTAAGCCACAAAAACTGGAGCCTAAGCTACAACATGTCATCAACAGAAGCCTTTAGACTGAACAGTTGTTGTTAGTATATTTTGAAAAATGTTAAAAATAAAAGATCTCGGAGCGCAACAAACTGCACCACACTGAAGTGCAGAGTTGCCTCAGAAAGTGAGCACTTTAAAATACTGGACAATAAGAAGGAAAAAAGATCAGTGCAAAATTTTAGATAAGAGGTTGGTGTAACACGGAGGCACGATATGTTTGATGAATCAGGTCAAATATATATAAGTACAGTGATTTTTGCTGCTACCCGATTTGCACCTTGCATGTGCGTCACTGTCTCGCATGTGTGCACTGCATTACGACGCTGCCCGATTTCTATCTTCTTAGTAATATTAATATTAGTGGATTGGCTTGGAGTCTTTAATGCTAAAACCACCACAACAGCAGTCTCATTCTCTAGCTTAATACTACTTACTATTTAGTATTAGGGGTCTTTCATTGAGTGAAAACATTGGGCCTCATTCACCTACCGTTCAATTTCTCCCTAATTCAGTCATATCCAATGACTCCCAGCCATGGATGGCTGTAGCATCTCTGGGGATCGAACTCGCAATCACAACCATTCTTAAGAAAAAAATTCTTAAAACCCACTTATGCAGTTTTCACGAAGATTCTGACATTCACCAGTGTTTTCCTATCTGGGATTTGTTCTTAGGTGAGAACAGAGTCTACACACACTCAAGAGCACAAAGGTGCAAACAATTCTGCAGTTTAAGATCACATCATGAATCTGACGAAGACTCGAGAGCTTGTCTGTGGCTGAATCTCAAATGGCTCTTTGCTCCCAATATTGCACTGCATAGGTTATGACGTTCTACACCTAAACAGTGCACTTGATGACAGATAGGATGTTGTGCACCTTTGACTAAATACAGATGGCTTTTATTTGGACATGTAATGCACAGTTTGTGTGTTGAGGCTAGGGCCGGGCAATACGACGAGATATATAGTTATCATGATAAATGATGTCACGATACAGTATGCTTTTCTGAATACATTGTGGACATCATCATACTTGTAGAAGACTGACTGCTTGTTTTATTATAAAGAGAGCAAAATTTGTCCAGTTTAACTGGATTTAGTGCAACACACTACGCCAAATATTGAATAAAAATCATTGTATTCACAGTTTTTTATAGTACTTTTTTTAAATGTAACTCTGCTGGTTCCTTTTTCTTAGTTCCAACTGATCAGATGTCTGAGAAATAAACATCGTAGCATATTGTGTATCGTGGAGATGTCAAAGTATTACAATATTATGTTTTTGGCCACTATATAATGACCTAAGTAGTGTGCACTACATAAGGAGTAGGAATCTGAGCGTACATTTCACCCAGCTTTGTTCAAGCTATTGCTATTGGAGTGCAAATACAGGTTAAGAATGCTACTATACACAAAGCAAAGTGCTCAGGTAGATAATCACACCTTAAAGTGAGCAGGGAGTGCAAAATAACATGGAATTACTACTGAAGAATATGGTCATTTTGTTTTAACAGCGGTTTTAAACTGAGGCAAAATGCTTAAGCATAGGTGATACAGATCGGGTAGTGCTGGAAAAGTAATAATATCTATGCATGCGTCACAGTGGTGTGTCTGCGCAGTGCAAATCAGGCAGGGGATGCAGATTGGGTAGTGACCATCCTTTTTGAGTACCACTTGGCTACATGCCTGATTTCAGATCATTCGCGCCATCACTGGGATACACTAATAATACATTGTTGCCCCCTACTGGATACATTTTGTTTAAAGGATGATTTTTTCGATTTTTTAGATTTTTTTTAGATGCTGTTCAGACCAGCCCTACTACCCACAGTACATACTTACATATAAGTAGAAATCATTTTTCTTCCACAGATCTCCACATCTCATCTCAACTTGTACTGAAGCCTTGAACTAACAGGTTACAATCTACAAACACAGATATAAGAATAAGCCACTCGTATTTTGATGTTTTGATTTTCCCGGCAACTTCAGTAAGTGGTCATTAAAGTCCGTCATTAATTCACACGTACTAAATATACATACTACTGCCGCAGCGGCATGTCTTCTTATATACACTTTAATACAGAACACAACATAAGGCATCAAAGTGAAAGTCCGTTACATAAATAGTCAATACAAATTCAACATCCAGCAAACTGTTGGTAGAACACAAGAAAAGTGGGAATTCAGTCTTCTGTGCAGTTCCAAAAATACATACAGAACTCATGACTAAGGAATGGTGCTGCTGGAGTTTGATTCAGAGGTCTTTGAAAATAAAAATAAAAATGTGCCCATCATTCAAAATAGCACGCTTGACCACTGACCAGTCCTTCATTGGTCCTCTGCAAAACCAGCAGATAAGATGTGCTGAGGTGCACTCGTAAAAAAGGGTTCCATCCAAAATGAAACAAAAACACCTTCCAAGAATTTGAGAACGTCAATCCCATCTGCAAACTAATAATGTAATCACATCAGAACGTAAAAAGGGCAGATGCTCGCAAAAAAAAACACACCCCGGTCAACGGGAAATGCCATCGCGTGTGTATCCCTCATATCCGTGTTCAGTGTATATAGACAGCTCGTCTGTGCTGCTGACTCCATTGTTTATTTCTGAAAGTTAAACAGAGGAAAAACAATGCATGATTATGGCAGGAAGGAGTGGAAGCCCAGAGCCGTTAGTGACTAAAACAGCTCTACAGGTTATACACACACTGATCTCCACTGTACACTGAGTGAAACACCTACACACTTAAAAAAGATGGTTCTTCAAGGGTTCTTTAGTAAAGAAAATGATTTTATATAGAAGCATGAACACTCAAAGAACCCTTTGCACGATTAAAGGGTACTTCAGATTGATGGAGAACGTGCTATATATGATTCTATAAAGAACCTGTTTGAAAAGGGTTCTATATAGTGCCAAAAAGGGTTCTTCTATTATTACAAGCTTAACAAGAACCCCTTCTGGGTCTACACAGAACCCTTTTCAAAAAGGTTCTATATAGGACCACACTGAACACATTTTCCACCTATCTGAAGAACCCTTTCACAATGCAAAGAACCCTTTAATCATGCAAATGGTTTTTTTTGGAGTGCTCATGGTTCTATACAGAACCATTTTCTTCACTATATAACCCTTGAAGATCCATCTTTTTTAAGTGTGTATAGTACTGTGCAAAAGTCAGAAACCACTGTTCATTCACTTCATTTCCAGTCAAAAGAGCCATTAATCACAGGTTATTCATTTTCAGGAGATATTTCTGAGGAGATCCTCTTTCATGGGTCTGAAAATATACATAGCTGCTAATAAGAAAAGGAAATAAACAAAGAAAACAAGAGAATTTGCACTAGAACAGCAAAACTGGACATCTGAGATGTGGAGTAATTGGATCATGAGAAGCAGAAAATGCAACCAATTTCGAAGACTGAACTTTGGAGGTGTGGAAAAATATCCGTGTAGATTTCTTAGGAAAACTGCAAGTCTCCTGAAAAGAATGGAGCTGTAATAGAGGTAAAGAATGGACACACTACTGAAAAAATATATTTAGTTGTTGAGACTTCTGTGTAATTTTCTGTTATGTTTTCTCCTCTTTTTGATGCTGACAAATGAATAACTTGTACTTAATGGCTGTTCTGGCTGGAAATTAAATAAATGAAGGGTGGTCGTTGACTTTTGCACAGTAATGTATCCCATATGCACTTGGTAGGTTTACAGTTACTGATTATAGCCCACCAATTCATCAGCCCCCCCCGACTTAACTTGTGTTGCTGGGGTCACCACATTGTGTACACTTACTGGCCACTTTATTAGAAACCTTGTTGCCTGATGCTTTTGGTTTTGTGGACTATTCTCAGTCCAGCAGTGACACTGAGGTGTTTAAAAACTCCAGCAGCACTGCTGTGTCTGATCCACTCAGACCAGCACAACACACACTAACACACCACCACCATGTCAGTGTTACTGCAGTGCTGAGAATGATCCACCACCCAAATAGTACCTGCTCTGTGAGGGTCCATGGGGGTCCTGACCACTGAAGAACAGGGTAAAAGGGGGCTAACAAAGTATGCAGAGAAACAGATGGACTACAGTCTGTAACTGTAGAACTACAAAGTGCACCTATATGGTGATGAAGTGGCTGGTCAGTGTATGGTCTCTCGTCTCACCTGAGAAGATGAGTTTCTCCTTCATGATGTTGACGTCACGACTGGGCCTGCGCACCACAGCGCTGAGCATGATCTGCTCCGGATTATAGCTCCTCATTCCGCTCATCCTCCACCTGCACAGCAACAAGAACATTCCATAAATCACCATTCAAGCAGGACACAGCGGACAACACTAAATCCCATCTCGCCAGGCAGTGGAGAAAAAAATCACTTGTGATAGCATGTCAAAAAATGGACTTAGTTTCTCAAAAGAATGATTTATTTTCTCAAAACAATAACTTTTTTCTTGAAATAATGACACTATGTTGAAATAATGAGTGAAATAATAAAATAATGATCAAAATAACGACTTGTTTTCTCAAGAATTTGACTTAATATGTCATAATAAAGACTTATTTCTAATAAATCTGGCTTATGTTGAAAAATGACTTGACCTACTATGTTGAAATAATGACTTAGCACCTCAATGAAGTTTTTCTCATTTCAAAATAATGAGTTATTATCTCAAAACCGATACTTACTTTCTTGAAATGTAACAACTCCTTATTTCAACACATTATGTTGGAATTCTGTCTTAATAATTAAAAGAAATGTGAGAATATAAGTCAACATTTTGACATGCTAAGTCAAAACTTTGACACACTGCTTCCAAACATTCCAAATTTTTTCTCTCCTCTACCCGGCAGGAATGTATTTCCATACAACAATGTACAGCCCCAATCCGCTCTTTAGAAAATGGCACCCCACTCTTACTAAATACAGGCTTCCACCTAAGAAACTACAGTTTAGGCTTCTTTCTGAGGCCCTGTTTAGTCTTTAGGCAAAGGCATAGACAGCCACAGGCAGGTCAAACACAGACTAAAAATAGTAAAAGAAACAAAAAACAAACAAATACAAGTAAATGTAAAATAACGAACACTATTGGGTAGATGGTAACAGTGAAACATCATTACGACACAAGCACCAGACCAGAAGAAGGAAGGAAAGGTACAACAAATATAGAAAGTGGGCAGAAATGAGCATCAGAAGCTAAAGGTAAATGCAAAGCGCTCTGACCCCTAATGTAATCCTGGTTACCTGATCGCGTGATAGCTGAAAGATTGCAGAAAGCAGCAGAGAGAGGAGGCATGCAGAGAGCAGGTAACGGAGAGGACAGACAGGAACAGAGAGAGAGAAGAGGAAGAATGAGAAGGAAAAGAGAGCAAGGCAGTCAGTTCAGAAGCAGCCAGTCTTACAGCTGCAAGCATACACAAACAGCTTAAGAGTATACTTCAGCATTTCTAACACCATCTCTGTCTGCTGCGTCTGTAGCGTACGGTTGATTAGGAACAGTTTTTAGATTGTCTTTACTAAGAGCGGACAATCTGTTGACTTGAAACTCATTTATAATATAAGCCATCAGGCAGTTGCCTACGTCTGTAAACAAATGCTTGAATATATGAATATGTGACAGTATAATGCTATTTAATATTCTAATTATAATGATTATCAATAACACTGGAGCCTATGAAAACTCCACCCACAGCACTACACTGACTTTTAAACTTTACGCTGGTAACAATCAGGTTGGTGCTTTTCTTCTATGGCCTGGAGAACGTGACACACATTTCCATAAACATTCTGAAAGGCTGATTGTCAGACCATAATGCAAAAGTCCATTTCATATGAGCGCGAGCCCAGAGAAGTCAGCAGCGTTTCCAGATGTACCGCTGTGCATAGTACAGTCTTAAACTGATTTGTGAATGCAGTGATGAACAGAAGTCTTTCCAAACTCAATCTTTTCATGATGCACTGCAGAAAATACTGTGAAATATCTAAAATCCTTGCAATTGCCGATTAAGGAACGCTGTTCTCAAACTGCTGAAATATTCGCTGATGCATTTCTGTCGAAACATCTTTGCTCATAAATGACGTGATGCAGGCATCAATTTCCGAATGAACGTATACGTTAAAAAATAATGAAGTTGATAAGATAAAAACACTAAATGTCTCATCTTCGTACTGTTTTCATTTAAATATCGGTCGACATGGATTTACAAATCAATGCTTTTTGTTTTTTGCGTGTGCTTCACATACTGTTCCAACTTTTTTTGGAAGCAAGGCTTGTACTAAGTGTGTTTTGAGTCAGTGGGTTTTTGGTTCTTTACTAAATAGAGGAAAGCACTAAATTACTGTGTGTGATAACTGACAGTTCACTACAGATGCTACAGATAGAGATTAGGCTGAGAAATGCTGGAGCTTTTCTTTATAATCTGAGTTATTACTGTGTGTACAGTCGTATGAAAAAGCTTCAACACCTCTGGTCAAATTACACATCCTGATTTTGATTTTCTAAGTGAAAATAAGATAACAAATCCTCTACAGAGAACATGCTTAAATATGACATTTCCAGCACATTTTAGTGTCAAATTTCTATTTATTTGGTGAGTTGAACAAAAAATAAATGAAATAAATATATATTTAAAATAGAATATAAATACAGAATAGAGTTGAGATATTTCTTAATATGTCAAATTCAGCAAATAAACATGCAGAACTGCAGAAGTGCGTACTCTGTAAAGGATGTGTTCACTTATTTCCACTTAAAAAACATCAACAATACATGTAACTTGACCAGCTTCTGCATACGTTTCTATGCATGTCTATAACGTTCTCCGACAAATCTTCCAGGTCCAGCTGCTGGAGAGAGAGGTGCCTTCACAGAAAGCTTTACAAGTGCATTGTTACAAAGACTGAGAGATTAGAAGTGAGACAGCCACAGCTACAGTAAATGAGATCAAACTGTTTCGAGTGAGGAATGAGTTTAACCCCTCCTTTATATAAGTTTGTAAGACATTTAATGACATTAACGTTTCCAAGAGGTATACTTACTTTTGGAATATGAATATACCTATGACAATCGCTGCGGATATCAGATCGGACGTGATCCATATCAAGCAGTATTCATCTGGACTCTGAAACACAAGAGCAGCTGTTATTACAATGTCTCACCACTAGATGGCAGCCTGGCAGTTCTCAACTCCTGACTTGCACATTTTATTGCTTTTCTTGCTCTAGCACACCCTCTTTTACCCTGCGATGCCTTGTTAATTGTCTGATTGGTTGGATCAGGTGTGTTAGTGCAGGAAAAACACCAAAATATCAGAGCAGGGGTACTCCAGAGCAGGAATAAGAACACAAGCAGGATCCTTTCAACTGATAAAAGAGAGACACAGAGAGGCAAGAGGGAGAAGGATAGGAAGAGACAGGAAGAAAGCCATGCTCTCTCACCATAATCCAGATGGGGTGAGGCACTTTACGGAAGATCTGAGGGGCATCAGAGGAGACAGACTGCACCCCGCTGCACCACAGCACTGAGTACAGCCACGGCTCGTTCACCGGGTACACGTTCAGACTCACGTTGCTCCTGCTGAGGCGCCTGCCCTCACACGTACACACGCACACACACACCCACACACACACAAAAACAGAACAGACAGCAAATAGAGTGACCATCATATTTAATCTTTGGTGTGCTTCATGTTGGTTAAATTGTACTTGGTTAGTATGTCTTTAATTTTGTTTATTTGAACTGTTTATGGCTTCACGGACTAAAAAAAATGTGCCAGTTGGCTACACTGGTGCATTAACCTGTGGGTCAGTTGATGTAAACTGTTGCTGACAGAGAGCTAAGATGGCTGGGTGATTCCTTTTGTGTCCCACTGACATTAAATTTACAAATATGCATGTAAAGTAAGGGTGAAGAATATTTTAAACAGTGTCCTTCTCAATACACTATGCTCATGTTCCTGATGAATTACATAAAACATTAGTATAAACCCATTTACAGCACTTACAAAACAGCACTGTAACTACATTTTATATAATCATTAAAATATTTACGCATTCATGTGTGAATCTCCTTAACATCTCATGCCTGAAACATCCTTTTACATTAGTAATCCATTATAGGTTATGATAAATATAGTTGTGTTCACTCAGCCCTGTTACCTGAACACATTCACCTCCATAAAATATCCGGAATATTGCACGACTCACATATTCAACGTGTATTTTCAATGGTACTGCGGTACTGACAAGGTCACTATGAAAGTCCCCTGTTACACAAAAATTATAGACCAAAAGTAAATTAATAACTAATCCTTAATGTCCTGCTATGGATGCTAGTAACACTATTTTTGTGTATTCGCTGATTCTATGCTAAACTTGTCAACCCTGTTACTTAATTATACAAATGTCAGAGAAAACTTGTGACAATGAGACACTGATCCTGTGATGGGTTAACACATTGTCTGAATGGTTAAATGAAAGTTTTATAAGATTTATTTTTACAAAATGATTTAAAAAGTTTCATTTTAGGAGGAACAAGGGCTAAATGGCATCCCAATCATGTAATTACCCAGAAAACAGACAGACAGACAGACAGACAGACAGACAGATAATTATGGTAATAATAATAATGTTATTACCCAAAAAACAGCTACATAGATAGGCAGACAGACAGATAGATAGACAGACAGATAGAGAGACAGACAGATAGACAGACAGACATACAGACAGACAAACAGCTAGCTAGATAGATACATCATATATAATACCTAGCTAGCCATATAAGTATAGACAATACAGACAATAATGTTATAACCCAGAAAACAGCTAGCTACCTAGACAAACAGACACATAGATAGATAGATAGATAGATAGATAGATAGATAGATAGATAGATAGATAGATAGATCGATCTGCCTGTTGATGTTGAATTGCTTTAGACATGGACCTGTGAATTCCCCCACTGCGTCAAACAGTTGGTAAAGCTATCAACAGTCACTGAAATGGAGCAGATATTCTCTACATGACCTTAGCACAAAATTCTGAATCTAACAGCCAGATAGATACACAGATAGACACAGTAAATAGATAGATAAATTTTATATCTATCAACATGTTTAAACTGCTTTAAAGCAGACGGGAACCTTCAGAGAAGGCCTAACGGTTTTTAGGAGGTAAACAATTAATGTTTGTTTAGTTCATTTTGGATTAATATAAGTATGCTTGCTATGTTTAAACTCTGGAAGTATTGTAATAATATTCTTATTTCATTGCAGGTTTGGTCAGAAACAGAAGGGTTGAATTCTTGAAACGCCCATAAAAAATTATCCAATCAAAATGTATTTTCTGTCCCATTGGTTAGCACTTCAGGAGCTAAGCACTGCACTTAGCGTAGCGCTAACATACTACTAGAATCCCATAGAGATGCTAGCAGGAATTAGTGTTACTGTAGAGGTGTTTTTTCCTTCCTTTTTTGGCCGACATTTATGGTCTGAACCGAAGGTCTAGCTCTAACAGTGACAGTTCATCACTGCTTAAAGAAACAATGTCATGCCAACATCATGTCAAAGTTGCATTATGCAGCATTAATGATTCAGTGGCAGAGTGTTCATCTCATGCGGACACGCTTGACGTTAGTGCTGATGTGAAGTGGTCCTAGTTTGTCTGTGTACCTGATTTCCCGCACCGTAGCTTGACTGTAGTGTAAGCTGAGGGTGCGGCTGCTCCTCTCTTTCAGCTCCTCTGCAGGAAGCTTCTCTTCTGACGTCTGCTGCAGCAGAGGTACGGCGGCTCGGACGGTCTTCCTGTACCAGTCTGGTGTCCACATCACCTACAAACACACAGTCAGACACCTATTCTTCCACACAACTGCTGACTAATAATAAGGCCAGACAAGCTGACACACAACACTGAAAGGCTAATAGACTGAGACCGGCACAGGTTCATTAAGTACATTCCACACTTAGTCACTAATATGTCCAAAACAACAACCCCCATGTTCTCTGCTTGATGCTACACAGGAGATGCCACAGGAGGCTGTTGATATGGAAAAGCTTGACTCTATGACTGCTGGCATTCCTCCTGAATGTGACTGGGAGGAGCTCTTAGTGAAGGTGGCACAACAAACACAGCAGGCGATGATGGATTTTTCCAATAACCAACACATGCAACGGACATTACATCATTTTTTTTAATTCTAGCTGTGAGGACCCCGGTTAGAACCTTGTGTTCAGGATATTTAATGCCTGGCTACTGTGCAACCATCACATTTACTTTTCCAGTCAAAACTGCCATTAGTGAAATGCAACCAACTTCTAAGAAAATGCAACCAACTTGTAAGACTGAACTTTGGAGAACTTTGGAAAAATATCCCTGCAGATTTCGTTTAAGGACTGAAAGCAAGTCGCCTTAGAGATAAATATACAAATGCAAATAATAATATACAAAAATTAATACAATTAAACGTAATTATATTAATGATATTATATATTATTATTTTAAATTGAATATTATTTATAATTTATTTTATTGCCTATATTATTATAATTAACAATAATAATTGTAAGAAGAAGAAGCATGCATTATCTATGAGGTCAGTCCTCACCTGTTCTGACTGGATGCCTGAGCGTTGGATGGTCTTTTGGACATCTTTGATCCAGAGTTGGTAGCGAGGGTGCTGTGGTGGTGGTCTGCGCAGGCTGAAGATGACCGAGCGGTTTGTCCTAGTCGCCAGACGGAGCAGCTCCAACAAACTACACACTGTCTGGTTGCCCACTCGGTTACGGTCCTTGGTGGACATGAACTGGACGGTCCAGTAAGGGTCATCCTGAGAGACAGGAAACACAGAGACAGAGAAGTGAGGCTGTTAGCAAGTAAAGAAAATTCTCTGAACACACCAAAACATACTACACCAACAAGTGCATCTACTGGTGAACTTTTTCTATCAAAATTAAATGATGGAAAGAAATTTGCTTAAAAAATACAACTTCCAAAATTTACATCCCTATTCTGGACACATCTAAAATATCTTATAATACTGTTAACAAACTTCAGTGTAGAGCAGCTAGTGCTGTGTAAAACAGGAGGGCATAAATACTCTCACTGTAAGCTAAGCTTGCTGCTAATTCCTCAGAAACCACAAGAGGAAAAGAGAAGAGCTAAATGTGTGAGTGACAGGAAGAACTTGTTGAAGAGATGTGTGTATGTGTGTATTTACCCTCAGGAACCACAGGCCAGCGTTCAGAGAGCGGATCTCGGTCCAATTGAAGAGTGAGGCGTCATCGTGCTGGCGCTTGGGAAAGAGCCTGGCTACATCGGTGGTCCGGCGCAGGGTTTGGTCCCGCATCAGGAAGGGCACTCCATCCATACTGCAGAGACAGGAAAAACAGGGACTAATTACTGATGGCACAGTAACACTTCTGTTTTGTTTTTTTTTTTAAAACAACTAAACTTTAAAATAAGCTTTTTTTATTAGAAGTACATTTTTTAAATCTAAAAGTATTACACAGTTTTCCAGACATGAAGAAACACATGACCTCTACAAAACAGGGTAAAAACTCTGATTCAATATAATAAAAAGTTTGTGAACAACTGGTTATTTGGCTGTGGGGATATTAATGGTTAAGGCTTATTGGCTGCAGGGGTATTAATTGTTAAGGCTTGTTTGGCTGCGGGGGTATTAATGGTTAATGGTTATTGGCTGTGTGGGTTGTAAATATTATTTGGCTGTAGGGGTATTGATAGTTAAGGGTTATTTGGTTGTGGGGTAGTAATGGTTAAGGGTTGTATGGCTGTGGGGGTATTAATGGTTAAGGGTTGTATGGCTGTGGGGGTATTAATGGTTAAGGGTTGTATGGCTGTGGGGGTATTAATGGTTAGAAGTTATTAGGTTGCAGGGTATTATTGGCTAAGGATTATTTGGTTGTGGGGTAGTAATGGTTAAGGGTTGTCTGGCTGTGGGGGTATTAATGTTTATGGGATATTTGGTTGTGTGGGTATTAATGGTTATGGGATATTTGGTTGTGTGGATATTAATGGTTATGGGATATTTGGTTGTGTGGATATTAACGGTTATGGGATATTTGGTTGTGGGGGTATTAATGATTATGGGATATTTGGTTGTGAGGATATTAATGGTTATGGGATATTTGGTTGTGGGGTTATTAATGGTTATGGGATATTTGGTTGTGAGGATATTAATGGTTATGGGATATTTGGTTGTGGGGGTATTAATGGTTATGGGATATTTGGTTGTGAGGATATTAATGATTATAGGATATTTGGCTGTGGGGGTATTAACAGTTATGGGATATTTGGTTGTGGGGGTATTAATGGTTATGGGATATTTGGTTGTGTGGATATTAATGGTTATGGGATATCTGGCTGTGTGGATATTAATGGTTATGGGATATTTGGTTGTGGGGGTATTAACGGTTATGGGATATTTGGTTGTGAGGATATTAATGGTTATGGGATATTTGGTTGTGAGGATATTAATGGTTATGGGATATTTGGTTGTGGGGGTATTAATGGTTATGGGATATTTGGTTGTGAGGATATTAATGGTTATGGGATATTTGGTTGTGAGGATATTAATGGTTATGGGATATTTGGTTGTGGGGGTATTAATGGTTATGGGATATTTGGTTGTGAGGATATTAATGGTTATGGGATATTTGGTTGTGAGGATATTAATGGTTATGGGATATTTGGTTGTGGGGGTATTAATGGTTATGGGATATCTGGCTGTGTGGATATTAATGGTTATGGGATATCTGGCTGTGTGGATATTAATGATTATAGGATATTTGGCTGTGGGGGTATTAACAGTTATGGGATATTTGGTTGTGACGATATTAAATGGTTATGGGATATTTGGTTGTGACGATATTAATGGTTATGGGATATTTGGTTGTGGGGGTATTAATGGTTATGGGATATTTGGTTGTGGGGTTATTAATGGTTAAGGCTTGTTTGGCTGTGGGGGTATTAATGGTTAAGATTTTTATGGTTCACTTTTTTAAATTTTTCCTCAGATATCTGATCCAGTATCTCCTTACGGTACAAGCCTGTTAGCGATGCTGGGTCAAATTCATTTAAGTTCACAAGATCTTGCTGGCTGGTCGAAACTACTTGTGGGAGGCATATCGAATACCTTCATACATTTGCTTATCTTAAAAACAAATTTCAAGCATTTAGTATAAGCCTGTAGATTTAAATGTCTTTGAGGATATGAAAAACATACATTCAATCAGATGTTTATGAACGTGTGGATAGTTCTGCATGTCAATAAACTGTGTGGAATGTGTGTCACATCTGTAACACTAACTGCCTATGAGACAAAAGAAATAAACCCAGGTTACGCTGGGTCAGGTCCCAGGGTGGGCACCAGGCCTTCTCAGGGCAGGCAGGCTAATGGCAGTCCCTCATTAATCTAGAGAGCCGTAGAGAACTGAGAGTGATAGAGATCTCCTCATTATCATGCCTGCACTTCATCAACTGAGTCAATAGGCAGCCTCCTGAGAGCTCCTCGGCTCAATACCACTATCAGCAGCGTACACGACACCAATGGACCAGCAGCACTGCAGCTAGAGCCAAAGAGTCATTAGAGAATTTACTGAACTCGAGAGAAAAAAGGCAGAAGAAGATGAATCACCGAACAGTGGAGTTACATGCTGAACTCAAAGACCCGAATAGCTCACAGAGTTACAGCTCTGAGCTTTTCACACATGCAATTACAAACAACCATGTCTCCCAGTTTCTTTCATGATAAATACACTGCTCAAAGTTTGAGGACACCTGGCATAAATGAGCATGTTTTCTTTGTCAACTTGGCATATTAAAGACTATCTAGATTCAGTTTGAGGAAAACATATCAGATCTAAACAGACACATTGATAGGTGTACTTCACTGATCCCCAAGGGGAAATCTGGGTTAAAACAGTTGCAAGCAGCAATAATGGGGTCCAAGCACTTATGGGACCTTTAAATGGGAATTTAATAGATGTTTTAAAAAGTGTCTGAATAATTAATTGGTCAAAATGTATGCAATTCAGACTGTTTTTATGGGAAACGCTTCATTCTAGAGAATTTATTTAAGTCTGAATTCACCCTGGTGGTAACTGGCCTTTTAGATTTTAATGCCTCATAAAACCCCCACATAGAAAGCTTTTTACACTAAATGGTTATGAATACGCTGCCTGAGGTCGAGATTGTTTGATAGTTCTGAGAAGGTTTTGGACTAAAATCCATTCATGGTGAAGGGATACATGCAGGACATTGTAAGAAAAAAACAGTACAGAATAAAATTTTAATGCTATTTTCATTATCAATATTACATTTAAAAACTCGGAAGACAAGCGTAGGTTCACTGGTCAATTTGGATATTAAATAAAATGGTTAAATTTGCAGTGTAGACATTGTGACTCCTGGTTCCCATAACCAGCATTACAAAGAAATTGGTGAGTTTCTCTACAATGAACAATTTCACATCAAAACATTCAGTATGACTTTGTTCGCATCTCAACGACTGAATTAACCAGACATTTTGGGATTAATTGGAAGAAATCCCATTTAAGCATATATCATAAAAACTTGCGACAGTCCCAGCTTAAGAATAGTGCCAAAAGCTACACATTTTATCCCCTTGTTGTGATGTCAGCACTCAAATCTTTCAGGTGTTTACAACTACCTTTGGGCCAGAAGAGTTTCAATATGAGCTTTTAACAATAGTTTGAAAAAGGAAAAATTAGCTCTTCATATCAAGGAAGACATTATGATGAACATGATGAAGCAAAAATATACCCAACTATTAGCAAATAGCTGCTTTTATGTTAACAAAACATTTGCATATATATTTTCCTACTTAATTGAAAAGTAAGGACAATTTCAAAAGAAGGCAAGGTGCCCACAGTCTTTAGACGTGCAGTAGATGAAGATGCAGATGATGGCGTACCTGATAGTGACATCGGCCTCAAAGGCGCTCACCTTCTGCTGCAAAGCTTTATTGAAGGACATCACTGTGTTCTCGGGAGTGAGCTAGAAGACAGACAACAGCAGTTTAGAGTCAATACTACCAGCAGGGGTGAGAAAAGCAGCATCTGCTGATAATAAACTCATTGACTTCCCTCATTAAGGGACACTGAGAAGGCTTCGCGTCTATCACAGAATTAAGACCATTTGCACTTGGCACAGGGTTAGTAAGTTTAAGCGAGTCAGGTTTCACAATGTTAAAATATATCGTCACTGTTACATCACAACTTTCTAACTCTAGCTTTGTAAATTATTTTGTTTAACACTTTTAAAACAGCAGCTTCTCTTCACATTGTGTGAACATTTCAAGATGAACGGGCCAATTGAAATACATACGTATGTTTAAATACCTTGTCAGGACATGGGTACTTGCGTATTATAATAATGTGTGCCATACTCCCACACTACTGTGTACATACACTATACTTTTATTGAATTTCCAGTCAAATCAGCCATCAAGTTCAAGTTATTTACATTTCCATGTCAGGGAAAAAGCAGAATACATACACATATGTAACATACATTTACAGGGAAGGCTCATAAATATAATCTCAAAAGTTTCATTATGTAGTGTGTCCATGCTTTGCTTTTATTACAGCCTCCATTCTTTTTAGGAGACTTGCTTTCAGTTCTTCAAAGCAATCTACAGGGATGTTTCTCCACACCTCCAAAGTTCAGTCTTAGAAGTTGGTTGTATTTTCTGCTTCTCAGGATCCAAGTAGTCTCAATTACAAATTTAGCCTCACAGTGCATAAATCTTTTACTCCATATCTCCGATGTTCAGTTTTGGTGGTCTTCTCACAGTGGAAGGCTGGACAGAAAAACCTATGGATTTTTTTCAGATCTGAATCAAGAGTGGAGCTTGATGTTCTCCTCTTTAAGTGCTGTTTATCTGATGGGGACAGTTTTGGGGGTCTACCAGGTCTTGCAGGTGGCTGTAAGAGCCCCATTCTCTCTGTATCTGTATCCTTTCTGAACTCCAGTTTGTGAAACTCCTGTTTTTTGACTTATTTTCCTTTGACTTTCTCCTTCCTTATGCAAGTGGGCTATCTTATATCTGATCTCCTCCTGAAAAATGAATAACTTGGACTACAGGGCTTACTAAACTGGAAAAGAAATAAATAAAGAGTGGTCTGACTTTTCTGAAGACTAACAGAAATGGTGCAAAATTACTCTGAATAAAAACTTGTGACTTGGAATTTTTTCAAAGATTTAAGGTTTTGTAACAAGCATGACAACACATTTATCCCAGTACGTGAAAACAGCAATGTTTACTTCTAATAAACCTTATTCAAACTGACAAGCATTAGTACACAGAAATTTAAAACAATTCTGAGAATTATAGATTCCCTGTGGAGGAAGCTGTGCCTCTGAAGATCAAGCAGGCAGGGATTTTCTGAGCTGCACTGCACAACAAATTCTCGCAACTGTTGATCTGCCACGAGATCAACAACATAACAGGGGGAACTATATATATATATTGATCCTTCGGTTTCTTTCCAATCAATGCTTTCACTGCACTCGGTGACATCAGAGGCGTTATCTCACAGGAGCCATTCATACAGCCATACAGCCAGATACTCTGTGATATCTCAACTCTGTGAAACACCATGTGCTGATGAACAGGTAAACAAACTGAAATTAAAGGAAGAGTTCAGCAAAAAAACTAATTTAATTTTTAGTTAACCCAAATGTAGTTAATCAATTAAGCCAAGATATTTCTGCTTCTTTAGCTTTGCAATGTGGTTAATGAAGCTATCAAGTGTGCACCCCACTGACTGACATCAAGCAAACTGCATGACTAAATCATTAAACCATGCCAAATTATTACAGGCTTGACTTGCTTATGTGGTTTCTGCCACTCTATGACATACTGTCATCTATAAACATGGACAAAGGTACAGTCATACAGTCAGACATTTAAACAACCCTGGTCAAATTGCATGTTTTGTTAATTTTCAAACTTAAATAAAGCATTTTTAGTGCACAACTTCAATTTATTTTCAAATGACCTCTTATCAAAATAAAGAACATACCCTAATTGACTTAACGCAGCAAATATATGGCGACATGTTTGAATGTCTTTACAATCATTTGGCCTCAAAGTTATCTACTAAAGAGGCAACTTAATGTGTGTAATGATTTCGTCTGCATCTGATATAAGCGAAAAAAAACATGATGATTCACCATTGGAGCTCCTCGGCGACCAATGACAGCGGGCCGTGCCTTCAGATCAGCCCGGTCCATGATGCAGGGGGACGAGATGGCAAAGGGGGCCAGATAGAGAGCCAGGAGAACACACAGATAGACCAGGAGCAGCACGACATGAAACCCTGCACACATACATACACAAATGCTTGTTTATATAACTTGTCAGGGTTATATATCTTGTTCTATATACATAAGTACCTATATATAATAACAATATGTCTGAAATACATTAAATATAAGTATCTGTATGTAATAACATGTTCCCTATTTGTTATATATACCTATATGTGGTAATAATAATAATAATAATAATAACAATGTGTCCCATTTGTGAAAAAATATATATGTATATCTTTGGTTTTCCTATATAACCAGGGTAATCAGGACATCTGGACACTGGCTTTAGTGGAGCTCCATACTGAGCTCCAAATTATTAGTCACGCATTCAACTCAATCGAACAAATACACCACTAAATTATGCATCTGATTATTGTTTCACGCCTCTTCAAGGTTGTTTTATAGAGTAGTGGTATTTCTGGACACTGCGAGGACTTACTGGCACTAGCTGTGAGTACGTCAGCGTGAAATGACGACAGCACCATTTATGCCCGGGTGTCAGTGGGGTGATCTCCCATGACCTGCCCGACGGCAGAGTTCTAATCATTCATACGCTCAACTGCATTCACTCATGAGGTCAAACTCACTCGTTCTGTCTCCACGCACAACTTGTCCCGCTACAAGCCACCCCAACGCAGTCACCGCGGCAACCGCTCCTATGTGCAGAAATGGTCCTGTTGACTGTATACAGGGAGAAAACAAACAATCAGGGTCAACCAACATGTTCATATTTCAGCTAAATTTTTGTTTTAGCATCTTAAATCATTCACATGTTATTCCATTATTAATGTATAAGCTTAGTACCCAGTAACTTCTATGAACTACTCAGTTCCTACTAATGAGTTATGCTACCTAAAAACACCAGCTCTCCTCAGTATTTCATGATGAAATGGGCCAACAGAAATGGCCCAAAATTACTTGGAATAAAATTTCATTATAATAGTATATATTAACAGTAAGAGTGCTTTAATGTTTTGTTGTAACAGTGACAATATGAAACTAATATGTAATTATGTGGTAACGAGAGTGAGGAATGGAGTGTTCTTGTTCTTGGGGTTAATGTAAGATGAAGTGATCTTTACTCAGACTATTTTAAGTAAATGTAAATGAAACGTAAATCATAACATATACTATATGACCAAAAGTATGTGGATACCCCATCCTGATTATTGAGTTCAGGTGTTTCAGCCACACCCATTGCTAACAGGTGTATAAAATCAAGCACATAGCCATGCAGTCTCCAGAGACAAACACTGGCAGTAGAAGTATTGCGAGATGGAAGCATCTAGGAGCAACAACAGCTTAGCTGCAAATTGCCTATTCTCTCTTGCATCACTCTCTACAGGGTTCCAAGCTGCCTTTGGGAAGCAACATCAGCACAAGAACTGTGCATCGGGAGCTTCACAAAATGGGTTTCTATGGCCGAGCAGCTGCATACAAGCTTAAGATCACTATGCGCAATGCCAAGTGTCGGCTGGAGGTGTGTAAAGCACACTGCCACTGGACTCTGAAGCAGCAGAAACGTTCTCTGGAGTGAGGAATCACATTTAACTATCTGACAGTCTGAAGGACTAATCTGGGTTTGGCACTAAAAGAATGAGGAAAAAATCAAATCCAGGAAAAAACTAAGCTAATAGCTAATAGCTACACTCACCACAGAACAGGATTTCAGTTTTCACTTTAACACCAGTCAATCGACTTTGCACTCTCAGATACGCTCTAAACGGGGTCATTTTAGTTTCAGTTAGTTGGAACCAGGCCTGTGCTGTGTTGTGTTGTACATCTGATCTCCTATCTAAACTACCGTTAGCTTAGCCAAAATGCTAAAGTCCAAAAACTATGAAGAACAGCTTCAATTTCGGCTTTCTGTCACTCTGACACCAGTTACTCGACTTTGCACTCTCAGGTATCCTCTAAACGGGGGTCATTTTAGTTTCAGTTACATGGAACCAGGCCTGTGCTGTGCTATGTGGCACATCTGACCTACTATCCAAACTATGGTTAGCTTAGCCAAAATGCTAAAGTCCACAAAACAACACAGAACAGGTTTGATTTCAGCTTTCTGTCACTCCGACACCAGTCACTTGACTTTTGCGCTCTCAGACATTAGTTTTTACCATCTGAACTTGTGTCAGCAGAGCAGCAGTTAGTCAGAGTCAAACCTGTGGTGTGTGGCACTGTTTGGGTCTGTAGCTGCTCGCTAAGCTAACATTAAATTAGCCGATCAAGCTACAGGATTGATTTCGAGTTTCTCTCCTTTCACTGCTGTTGTTGGACTTCACTCTCTCAGATATAACTCATTACCATCTAAACTTGTGTCGGTGCTTCAGTTAGACAGAACTGAACATGTCCTGTTGTAAACAGAGCTGTTATTATGTTAGCTAAGTGCTAATGCTAACTGGCTCCTCTTACCTACTTAGCAGCACTGCTTAACATTTAGCAATTGTTAGTTAGATGGTTTGACATTTATTGAATGATGGCTTGCAAAACATTTTCGATCAGAAACAATGCAGTATGAGACAGACCAAAGCTTTTTATCACTTATGCCGCTTTTAGCCCCCTCCCCAGCTTTTAAGCCCCATCCCGATACCGTATATCACTGTAATATTCGGAGATGGCTTAATGGTATAAAACAAGTAGATACCACCAAACCCTGGCTTCCACTGAATTGTGCAAGTTGATAAAGTGGCTGATTGTTCAGATTGTTCATTCAAACTGTTTTGTTATGTATTTTTTTGCTGTTTTTTCAGTAAAAATGTGGAAATAAATTCTGCTTTTAATTTTGTATCAATTTGCATATAACTTTTTTTAACCATTAATAACTGTTTTACTAACCTGTATTACTGAAAAGCTGGGATTATGTTAAATCAGAGCATGCAGGTCACTTGAAAATGCTGTAATATATCACAAAGTTACAGTAAAAAAGAAAAATGAAAAGAAAAAAGATATGCCCAGTCAGCCACTTTTAGGTCTATTTTAAAAGGTTAATTAATTTGTTCAGACCTGAAGAGAGATGAGCACAATGTCCCATTCGTCCCTCCATAAGTCATCGATGGACACCACACCAGTGATGGTGGTGAGAAGAACAGCCAGCACTCCAATCTGAGCGGGAGGAGACACAATGTTCAACACCTACATAAACACTTTGCAACAAATTTTTTTCAGTAACATTGTTCAACAGACCTAAATGAGCATCAGAACATTTAACAGTAACAACTACATAATTTATATTTAGGATATGATGTTATAGAAGTGAGGAATTGCACACACATGTATGTGTACTATGTACAGTACTGTGCAAAAGTCAGGGACCTTTATTTGTTTAATTTTCACTCAAAACAGACATTAATTACAAGTTATTCATATTTCAACATCTGGAAAAAAGCAGAAAACAGAAAACTCTTTGCCTTTATTTCATCTTCCATTCTTTTCAGGAGACTTTCAGTTTTTCAAAGAAATCTACAGGGTTAGTTTTCTACATCTCCAAAGTTCAGTCTTAGAAGTTTGGTTGCATTTTCTGCTTCTCACAATACAAATAACACCAAACACATTCAGTGAGGCTGAGGTCTGATCCTTGGGGTGGTCAGTCTATTGTTCTGAGACCACCAGCAGCTTCTTTAATTGATCTGCAAATTTTCTAGTTTTTAATCTATTTCCTTTTCTCAGTAAGAGCTTCTTGACAGCTACACATCCTTTCAGACCCATAGCGCTGAGTTGTCTTCTCACAGTGGAAGGATGGACAGAACATCTGTGGATTTTTTCAGATCCATAGCAACTTGATTTTCTCCTCTCTCTCAAAGATGAAAGCTTTAAGTGCTGCTTGATCTGCTTTGTTGGTCTACCAGGTCTTGCAGGTGGTTGTTAGGAGTCTTATTTTCTCTGTATCTTTTAATCATTTTTTAAACTCCAGTTTTGGAAACTCCTGTTTCTTCACTTATTTTCTTTGACTTTCCCCTTCCTCATGCAAGTGGATTACCTTATACCAGATCTCAGAAATATCTCCTGAAAAATTAATAAGTTGTACCTAACGGCTGTTTTTCCTGGAAATTAGATACATGAAATGCGTTCTCTGACTTTTACACAGCACTGTACACTATTAAAACTGAACTGCACTGTGTATTTACCTTGTGAATCCAGTATAGGTTGAGCTGCTGTCCCAGTGCAATATGGCAAAAAGCTAAGATCTGAAAGAGGACAGAAAAGAACTGTTTCACTATTGCTTCAAGGACTAAATAAAAACAATTTCTGGATGAAGCAAAGATGTAGTTACTACTAACTGTAAAGAGGAAATCAGAAAATGTACACCATATTGCCTAAACATGGTGATCAGCTAAATGTAGTCAGTAGATCATTTTGGCTTCTTTAGTTTTGCACAGGAACTAAAAGCTAATGTAGTGAACACATAATGAAAGCTGATGACCAGCAATTAGCATCATGCAGACTGAATCATCACATAATTGCCTCAAAACGTGTTGAGTTGTTAAATAACTCAAGTGGTTTCTAATATTATGTGCCATACTGTTATTTATAAAAACTGACACTGCAAGGCTAAAATGTCATTCATTTTTAGAAATCATATAAGCAAGACTATTTGAAACTCTTTAATAACTCAACATGGTTTGAGCTGTGAGCTGATGTGTGAGCTGATTTCAGCATGCCATTTACATGATTCTTAGCCTTGTAGCTCAGATGCTAAAGAAAGCAAACATGTTTGGCTACTGATTACATTAGGGGTGAGGGGAAAATCAAATGCAGACAAATTTTCACTTACTTCAGCCAAGACAAGCCTGCTGTCCAGTTTAGGCTTCTTAAGTCTAGCGCTGGAGCTACAAGGACTAACTCTGCTAACAAACCCTAGAAATCAATAGCCACCCAAATCCTTTCTGTAAATACATCCCCAAAGCTTCTCTCAACTTGCTCAAACTGCATGATTCAGGGACGCAGTATGACTTACTGTAATCTACAAAAATGAACAAAAACTTCTGTTCATTTATGTAGTTCACAGTAAAGTCTGTTTTAAGTGCAGCTTTGAATTTGTTATACCAAGAATTTGAGGTGAAAATGTCAACTTTGGTGCAAGCACCCACAAAAGATCCCCACAGGAGGAAAAGCTAGTTTTTCGTTTATTTGTTTAGTTGGTTGATTCTAAAAAAAATCTGTTTTCTATGTATTATGAGTCAGTTTTAAAATGTTTATCATTCACTTCAGCCTTTAACATTGGTGCTTATATACTTTTCAATCAAATGCGTTAAACCAGCCCCTAAGAAGGGACATCCTGTTTCTTTTTAAGTACGAGATGTGCCTCACGATTAAAAAAGGTGTTGTCTGAATGCCCCCTTATATTTCTGCATAGATGTAAACACACCTGTGTCAAGATGCAGAAAGAATGATGATCGGCTGCCTGGCAGTGTTAGGGGAGGGACGTGAACCAGAACTAGCACAAGATCAAATGGAGTAATTCAGGGGTTGGCTGGTAGAAGAGGTGCAACCTTATAAGACGCCTCAAAGCATTACAAAACCAATAAAGTGAGTATTTATTTTTGGAGAGTGAAAGGAAAAATGTCAGTATATCAAAACCTCGTATGTCCATTTTTATCATTTTTCAGTTTTTGACATAATTTGAAAATGCCTGTTGTTCTTTACATTGTGTGTAAATTTCATGATGAATGAACCAAAAGAAAGAGCCCAAACTGACTTGGAAAAATGTCTGGTTCCATTGACTTACATTAAAAGTAAAGTATGTTTTTCTTCTTCGCCTGTCAATTTACCAGTTTGGAGATACGAGGTTTTATTCTGACAGCAGCGATATTTTGGTTTTCACACTGCCTCCCAATGCACATGTTCACCTTACGTGAACATACTGACAAGTCTGTATGATCTTAATAAAGACCTAGGTGCAGTTTGAGTAGGTTAAGTGAAGTTTCTGAGATTTGGGTGACTACTGACTTCTTGTGTTTGCAAAATTAGCTTCCAGTTTAAAACTACAGAAGCTAAACTTGGACACTAAACATGTCTTGGCTGACCGACAACATCTGGATTAAGTGGAAAAACGTGTGAATTTGATTTTCAGCCAAACTCTCACTTTAAGATGGGTGACGGGTGGTGAAACTGGTACATGAGAAAGTGTGCATGCGTGGAACGCTCACCATTAAAAATGCAGTGTAAGAGAATCCCACGAGTGTGGTTGTGAGAATGGGGACTGTGCCGTCGCTCCATTCGCCCGAGCGGTTATATAACAACCTGGAAGAGAGGCTGGATTCAGCACATAACAGCCCAACTTAACATAGCCCAGACTAGAAGGCAGCTCCACGGCTGTTAATGCACTGCAGGTCTGCTCTAATTGAGCCCTGCAGCTCCTGTACACCTCATATGCAACATGCTTGGCTGACAGACGCATGTTTTTGGCATTACGACACCCCACAATTAAAGCAATTAAGCAGTTTGATAAACACAAGCCAAAACGGTCGTTTGTGACTTTATTCGTCTCTTGAGTCAACACTGTTTTGTGTCACTTGGCTCGCTGAGACAATACGGGTTAATGACAAGTTGACTTAGACCTTAGATATGCATTTTAGAGACCTAGACAGCTGATGATGTCATTGTGTAGATAGTGACTTGAGGCCTTAAGGTCGCCATTTCTGTACTCCCTCTCCACAGTGTAAAATGAATGATCGTCTATGGACCTGCAGCCCGTTTGGCCAGATTCTAATGAAGACTCTGACGGCAGGACTACATCAAGTTCGGAACCTGACGTTGCCCCTAAGCAAGCTTTTTTGTTGGCATCTGTGACTAAAGAAACAAACTAGAATTAGAAACGAACAGACAATTCAGCAAACTAGATGAGCTCTGAAATGCCTTACAGACTGACTGGAACAAAACAACATCCAGCATAATCTTGTAAATACTGAAAAACCTGAGCTAAACCTGATATTGCGACAGGCTTTACATGTAACGCAAAAGGGTACTACTTTTTTGGCGGAAGGAATTGCCAGTATCAAAGCACAACTGATACAATGTTCGGGGCTTCTTTGCTTTAGTCTTTTCTTTATTTTGCAGAACTGTTGTCTAAATCAATAGAAAACGCAAGGTCGTGTGTTATCACGAATAATGATAATCTGCGGTACTCGCCTTTAGCACACGCCTGCGACCCAACCACTGCCTTAATGTTGTTTGCGAGGGCTGTCACTGTCAAATATCTTGGCAATCAAGTAGCTAGTGATTATTTTGATGATTAATCAAGTAATCATGTATTTTTAAACCTTTTCATCCCAACAAAACTGGCAATTTTCAGAGTTAGCTTCTTATTGATCACTGTTTTACACACAGCGTTTTATTAGGGCTGTCATGATCCTGAAATCTTAGCTAATGATTAACTGTCATATAAACAGTTGTTATTAATGATTAAATTGTCTTTTCATGTTCATTGTATACAACTACTAACACAGAAGTCTAAAACGGCCAAATTAGCTGATTAGCCATGTTGCTTCCTACCTATATTTGATTAGTAAGTAACACTGGCTGTACTATCAAAATGAAACACCCACACAAATGTAGAGTTACACAGAATGTTTCTGTGAAAATGTAAGCAAAAAACACTCATTCTGCTAGCATACATGCTAAAAATGTTATTGCTATAAAAATTACTACATAGCAAACAAATAAACCAACGCACCCAATTTCCATTCTTGCTGTTGCAGAAATCTAACACCTGTGGAAAATTACTGTAGTCAGCCTAAATAATCGCGATCATCTCAAATAACTGCAATCATCTCGAATAAATGTTATCATCTCAAATATGGTTACTAGGCAATAATGTATTAATTGTGACTGACTTATGTTTAATCATAAAACCAGAAAGAAATGATAATTACAAGCAAATTTTAGTGAAAATTTCTATTGAAGCTATTTCACTCGTCGTGGGTCCACTTACGACATTTGGACGCCTACATACACCAAAAAACAGCCTTAATTCTTTTTACACAACAATTTTGCATTGGTATCCCAGGTGGTTGCTAAGGTGTTGCTGGGCTGTTGCTATACTATTATTCAACTTAACTAATTCAAAAACACCAGCTGTTTCTTCAGTTCAGTTTCCAGATATGGACTGTCTGGACTGGGGAGTGAATGTATTGAATGTTTTAGACGGTGCTGATCTTACCAGTTAAACTCATTGTAGTCATTGTGGGCCTCCCACCAGAAGTAGGACCAGACGAGGAGGAGAAGAAAGGAGGAGCACAGGATGAGGAACCAGGAGCACTCCCACTGGAAAAGAAGAAGAAAAACCCAGTAAAGCTATAGACATACAAAGACACAGAAATGCTTTCCTAAGCACTGGGACAGAGGCTGTCAGCCTGTCACTGCACTCTTTACTCTCTCTGCGTAAGCACTTTAGGAAAATCAGGCAAATGTCAAGCCTGTCTGTAACTGTCAAACTAACGCTGACATTCCACCAGTCACAAAGGGACTTCACCTCCCTCTCTGTGTCTTTCTCTCATACACAAAAACATACTGTCACCACAAATACAGAGTTTTAACCCTAACAGGTCACAAGTGTCACCAACGACAGAAAAGGAGGGTGTAATTTGAAATACATTCATTCTCACTTCACTGAACACATTTCATTCAACACATTGCCGGTCAAACTAGCAATTAAGTATAAGTTTTTCGCTTCTCAGGGTCAGAAAAAAGGAAAAATATAAACAGACTGACAACCTAATTTAGTTCACTACTATCAACACTTTGTTTCTACAAAGTGCTTCTCTGCATACTTTGTTAGCCCCCTTTCACCCTGTTCTTCAGTGGTCAGGACCCCCACAAGACCACAGAGCAGGTATTATTTGGGTGGTGGATCATTCTCAGCACTACAGTAACACTGACGTGGTGGTGGTGTGTTAGTGTGTGTTGCGCTGGAACAAGTGGATCAGACACAGCAGTGCTGCTGGAGTTTTTAATCACTGTGTCCACTCACTGTCCACTCTATTAGACACTCCTACCTTGCAAATGTACGATGTAAAGTCAGAGACAGTACCTCATCAGTGGTCACAGGACACTGCCCACAGGACACTGTTGACTGGATGTTCTTGGTTGGTGGGCTATTCTCAGTCCAGCAGGAATACTGAGGTGTTTAAAAACTCCAGCAACACTGCTGTGTCTGATCCACTCAGACCAGCACAACACACACTAACACACCACCACCACGTCAGTGTTACTGCAGTGCTGAGAATGATCCACCACCCAAATAGTACCTGCTCTGTGAGGGTCCATGGGGGTAAAAGGGGGCTAACAAAGTATGCAGAGAAACAGATGGACTACAGTCTGTAACTGTAGAACTACAGTGCACCTATATAGTAAGTGGAGCTGATAAAATGGACAATGAGTGTAGAAATAACGAGGTGTACTTGATGAAGTGGCTGGGCAGTGTGGTTGTCTATGACAATACTACTATGCTGTCATATATGAAACTATCAGATACTTTAATTATTTAATTTATTTTTATTTTTAAATTTTTATAATATTATTGCTGTCCACCTACCATAATAGTGTAGACATAGCATTACAACTCTGTACTTCTAAGGGTTGAGAAAAAAACAACTGTATAGACTGATTATTATTTTTATGCATTATTATTTATCCATAATCTTGGTTGATCTGTTATGGGGTTTGTTATTTTCACCCCCTGTTCAATGTCACACCAATGAGACACACTGAAAAATAATTACACCACAGGGACAATAACATTATTTCTACAACACTACATCAAAGTGTGCCGGCCAGACAGTCACTGAAGATAAATTTGCATCCTGCAGAAAAGAACAAAAGATAAAAAGGGGTTTGTAGTCGCTAAGTCGAGACGTTAACGGATTTTCGGACAACCCAAGTGTAAATCATGAACCTCTGAAGATGTCTTTCTTCAAAGCCGCAGAGAGAAGGAAAAAAGTGAGTGGCAGCCTGAAGTTTAATTAAATTCCTTTTCCACAGAAACCTCAGCACCCAACGTTACCCAGCAAATTACTTGCGAAATACCGCACAGCGAGCGCTAACCTTTGAGTGAGTGAGGAGAGACGGCTTGCCAGGCAAATAAAGAAAAATCTCCTTGGAGACAAGGCAGGGTCTCTGTGGGAAATGAAGGGGCGGGGTTTGACTGTTTAGGCTGGTAGATGGACAGAAAGTTACAATAAGGGGTGTGGCTAATCAAATGGAGATAAATGTTTGAAGGATGTCTTGGTTGACCGTGTTTAAAGGAATGGTTTGGCAGTTTCCACTTACTCCAGGTGTAGTCAAAGGTTCCTAAATGGTTCTTTGCCCGGATGCATGGTTCTAGGAAAATCTTTAAATCAGTAACGAAACGTTTCATTATGTGCAGGTCACTGAATCTTTATGTTCTTTGCAAATGTGCAATATTTAGAACAATGGTTCTTTAAAGAACCATGCATTAAAAGGAGGTTACTCCCCTCACGAACACTTTCGCTTATTAGGAGATTATTAGTTTGATCATCCCTCAATGAGATTAATAACTGATCATCACATTGGTTTATCAGTCTACTCAGGCTTTAGCAGAGCTCAGTAACACTGAGATTAATAACTGATCATTACATTGGTTTATCAGTCTACTCAGGCTTTAGCAGAGCTCAGTAACACTGAGATTAATAACTGATCACATTGATTTATCAGTCTACTCAGGCTTTAGCAGAGCTCAGTAACGCTGAGATTAATAACTGATCACATTGATTTATCGGTCTACTCAGGCTTTAGCAGAGCTCAGTAACACTGACATTAATAACTGATCATCATTGATTTATCAGTCTACTCAGGCTTTAGCAGAGCTCAGTAACACTGAGATTAATAACTGATCACATTGATTTATCAGTCTACTCAGGCTTTAGCAGAGCTCAGTAACACTGAGATTAATAACTGATCATCACATTGATTTATCAGTCTACTCAGGCTTTAGCAAGAACTTCAGTGTTCGTAAAGAAGCCATTAGTTGAGCTCCTCTTTAAAATTTGTCTAACAAGCATGTTTGCCACATTCCATGCACTGATTTTAAAATAGTTAACCTAACAAACAAGGATTGATGGTGTTTCTTTTAAAGACAGCATTTATTTTTTAAAATTTAGTGGATAAGTATTGTAAAGGTATTCTCCTAAAAATGTAAAAGGTAACTGTATTCTGAATACTGCCTTTACAAAATGTAACTGAATACAGTTATGTAATTTCTATATTCTGCACATGTATTCCCAATACTTGTATTCCGTTACATCCCAACCCTGATTGCTGATACAAGGTAAGTGTGTGTGTGTGGTAATGTCAGGACACTTTAACCAGAGCGCAGAAGCTGAGAAAGAGCCTCCTCAACTGCACTCATTTCACCTGGTGGGCTGGCTCGCAGCCCTCTGGCTGTAACAGAGAAAACCTGAAAGACCTTTTAGTCCCGTGAAGAGAGATGAAGAGTTAATGATGGTGTCTAGAGTCTGACTGCTGGGACCATTAAGCTCCAAACACGCTGCAACAAGTGCCACCAACCACTTACAGTAAATACAATCAGATTTTACAGTCTCTGCACTAAAGCTCATAACCCACTGGGGTATAATATAATCAATGCATGTATTAATATCATCATAACTGACTGAATTAAAACATCCCTATTCAAATAGAAGTCACTTGACTCAAATTACCAATCATAAATTCAGAATCAATTACTATTAAAGGGGAATTCTAGAGGTCGGTTCGGTCCTCGGTTTCTGGACTACAGTTCAGTTTGTATGACGGATTAACATGGAAATATTTAACCAACTCTGAAAGGGGGGTGGGTTGAGTGGTGGGGGTAGGTATTATCAATAAACATGCTTTTTTAACTAGAAAACATTGTGCTAATTATTTTTAAATATTGCCAAATCTGACATGGAAAATTTTGAATTTAAGTAAAATATACTACATTTTATTCATCGCATATGTCCAATTCATTACTTTGCAGTGTGCTAAACACTTAGACTTCTTTACCTTTAGTGTTATTTTTTTAGCATGCTGGCAAAAAGTGCTGCTATATGAACCATATCATCAAACATCAAACAAGCTGAGGTGGGGTATCTCGAGGTTTACACAAACTGACCATAAATGTCATAAAACTTGAAAACATGCAGCACAATGACTACTTTAGCTTGATCACCCATTAAAATTTCTAAACCCATTCTCTTGGCCAGTTTGCTGTATTTCTTCCTTCTCACAATAAGGCACCAATCTGCTTAGTGCAACATTTCCTTCTGGACATCGCACTGTAGGGGGGAGGCTGACAAAAGGCTGCTGCAAAGCTGCTTGACAGGTCAGCTCACAGAGCTTCATTATAAATCAGGGGTTTATAAATAGAGGGATAAAAACGGATCAAGGTTAATTCACTTAAGTATCACTGCAAACACCCTCCCCCATCAAGAAAACACAGCAAAATGAAGCGAATAAGGCCATACAGTGGGGATTTTCATTCGCTCTCATAATCCACGTCTGGACAGGCGAGTCTGAACAACGTTCTCATGACGGCCTCCAGGTGGTTCACAAAGTAGTGGGCAAAATCTTACAAACTGTAAAAATGTTGTTTCAAACAAGACAACTCCGCAAACAAAGCAAACCTGGTTTACTTACAACCAGCGTAAATGTAACATATCGTAACTAATTACCGTTATTAAAGATGACACAAAACCACTTTTTCTTTTGTGATACTGATATTTAAGTATCCTTGAGTATCAGGTGATCCTGAACTGATCAGATATTTTTAAAAACTACAAACCTCAATTCCAAAAAAGTTTGTGAAATACAAATAAAAATAGAACGGTGCAGCTGCTACCTTCTGGCGCCTCAAGCACCATTTAAGGTGGAACGGGAAAATTCAAACAAGAAGCTGGCAAATGAGAAGCTGACTTCAGCCTCAGCAAAACATTTTACAAGAAACTATTCTACTTTTGAGGAAAAGTTTCCTGCCAGAGATGCGAGAAAAGTAGCTATAGCTGAGCTAAAGCTTCAAGTAGAGCAAAAGAAGTCTTTGTTTTCATTTATATTATATTTTTTAGATTACACTAGAACATTAACACATATTGAGACATATTACAGCCATGATGGTAAAACTTCAATAAATGGACATAAAATGTTGTGGCTCCCAAGGTAAACTGATTTTTTTGAAAGGACAAAACGGCTCTTCTTAACATTTGGGTTGCCGACCCCTGGCCTAGTCCTTTATGAGCGAGGATGGCTTGCCATTTTGCAAAAAATGGATC